AATTTTAATTATTAACAACAAAAAAACAAAATTAATAAAATGCATCTTAACTTTCAGAAAGTTTTCACAATGAGTTTTAATAAAATTAAAAGTTTAAACACAATATTTCATCTATCAAATTGTAAACTTTGAAATAATTCCAAAAATTACTTTGGTAATTAATAATTATCTTAATATTTACGGATTTAGATTTCATATAATTGACATAATGGAATATTTGTACTCTCGCCCTAATTGAATCCAGGCTTCCCTTAATTTATTGGGCAACTTATTAAGACTTGAAACTTCGCGCATTCTTTTTTCGCTGTTTTAGAAACTATTTTGCCTACTATTCTCTATTTAGCAGACTTAAATAGAAATTAATGGATTTCAATTATAAAACACATAAATTTTAACTATTAACAACAACAAAAAAACAAAAAGTAATTTATAAAATGCATCTTAACTTTCATATATCAAATTGTAAACTTTGAAATAATTCCAAAAATTACGTTGATAATTAATAATTATCTTAATATTTATGGATTTAGATTTCACAACTGTTTTTTTTAATTCTGAAAATTAATATAATTGACATAATGATGCATTTCCAAAATGTGCTATTCCCTAAGTAACGTATGGAATATGCATATTATGAAGCAAATGGAAATGTACTATGACATATCGAAATACTAAAACGTTTGTCAATTAAACACAGCGATCCATGGAAATGGAGGGTTTCACGCTACGGAGAGTAATTACATTACAATGGCAATTTTTCCGTAATGGATCCTCTCATTCTCTTCGGCTCGGCCGAGCCGAAATGTATGTGATGCATGTACGTATTTATATTTCTCTTCGATTGCCGTTCGGTGGAAGGAACGTAGGGCAATGGAATAGAAAACGCCAAGTGCCCTGGGGGGGCTAGTGTTAAGGGCGGAAAATTGGATGCTTTATGAAATTTCATGTTTGATGCCATTCGCCCCCAGGACTCCTACAAATTGCAATAAAGTTAACCCGTATACCTGAAAGCAGGAGAGAGAGAGAGAGCTAGAGAAATGTACTGAACAGAGAGGGGAAACAGCGAGTGCGAACAAGCGTTAGACGAATTAACTAAACCGAAGTTTATTATTTAATCAATTTGAATTTCCCGCGAAAATGTTTCGTACTTATTAGTGGATCCCTAATGCCGTAAGCATATTTATTTTTCATATGCATACAAGTTATGAATAAATATGTTTTGAGTCAATATTATTAATTTAATAATTTAATATACAAAATCTTTCATATAATATAAGATTGAAGACTCAATGCTAAGAGGAAATTAAATATTCATTTAAGAATGGACGAGAAATCTTAAATGTAATTTTTTCGGTTGGGTTCAGTTTATTTTTTAATAAAGAAATATTTGAATGGAGGTTCCTGCGGCTGCTGAGGAGGCGAAAATTTCCGTATGTTTCATTTAGATTTTCTGCTTTCCATTCGGCGAGAAATTGCTTTTTCCTTCTCCCATTTTCGCCGGCATGAATCAATATAAATGTGGTTGTATTATTCAATAAGTGCTTTCCATAAGGAGGGAAAAGCGAACTCAATATAAGAGAAAGAGACTTCTCTTGCAGTAGATGTAATTGCGACATTTACATTGTGCAATAAGAAATTTGCAAAGTTTGATTTACAACTTTCTGTGTATATTAGGAGGTAACCTAATCTCTAACCCAAACTAACCTAAACTTATGTTTTACCCTAACATTATGTTTTGACAAGTTAATACTAAACTTTTTGTTTGCTCATTACTAGTAGAGGATTAGCATAAATCGGTTATGCAATTTGAATAAAATTAATCGTTTTGCACGTAGATATTTCGGATTTAACGTGCAAAAAAATGATGTATATGCGGATTCCTGGGAATACGTATTTGGAGAGCATTATGTAATGCGTATTTTCGGCTTTGCATTCCGAATTACTACATATTATATTTGCACACAATATAAATTCACAGCATAATTATATCCTTCGGGCAAACATCCGCGCGCGCTTTATTTATCCAAGAGATTATTAATTACAACGAAAATTCGTTATTAATTTCATAGTTGGAAATTTGGCTTTTCACAATATTTTATATATGAAACGAATTCGAATTTAATCTGTATTTCAATTGATATTTAATATACGCCAATAATTATTTATCAATTAGTCAACGTGTGCAGATATGCATTAATATCATCCAACATATTTGCTAATTGCTTGATTTTAATTAAAATTTATTTACTTTTACATTTACTTAGAAGTAATATTTTATTAGTTATAAAGTTTATTCAGTTTTACCATCGCAGTTAAATGTGTTTATTTATTATGCAACATCTAAAAAGAAACACTCTTTTTCAAGCTTGAAACGCAATCTTTTCAAATTATATTCTTTGATATTTCTTAGTTAACTTCTAATTTAATTACAATAAATTTTTCAAGAAACTCATAGTTTCTCTTAAGTTAATATTTAGTGTAAATAATAATTTTCGTTTGCAAAACAGGTGTAGTTTAATTTGTTCCGAGGCGAAAATGGTTGAAAATATATGCGCATTCATCCCTCTTGCTAAATTAAGCTTCGCGGCCGTAATTCATATTCATAAAAAGGAAATTATGCGTCCTTACTTATTTTTTTTTCCGTTTTCTTCCTTACTTTCATTTACATTTTGGCGGAAAGTATAATCTCGTTCTTGGCGGGGGCCTCTGGCCAGTTTCCTCCACCTTTTCCACCCCCTTGAAGCGATGTAAATCACGTATATTAATGACGGTTATAACTTTTCACCAGCATCTCTGCTCCTTCCTTCATCTTCCTCCATTCTATCTCCTTAATGATTCGTCCCTTTTTCTGTTTCTGCCCGCGTCTTCAAACCTCCTCCTCCTCATTTAATCCCCCGTTATTTATTGTAAAATTTTACGAGGCGGATCAACATCACTGGGCTGTAGCAAAACGGGGGGTGGTATCTCGGTTGGGGGGTGAAAACGTGACGTGACTTTATTAAATTTCAGAGATTTAATTCAACACACCAGACATTTCATAAACCCGAAGTGTATATTAAAATTTGCCTGCATTCATAACATAATACGATATTAATCGATAAATTCGTATTAAGAAGCTTAATTTCGCTTTAAATTTTTCAGCAGCGTGAAAGATGAAATCCCCTATTATAATATTACGTAATTTTGATCCAATTAAATGTTGTTCATACCATACGAAAGTTCTAGTGTTGTAATTGAACAATTTAACTTTTAAACAAGATACATATCGAAATGATCTTTAAGAGCTCACGGTTATCGTTATGTAAGGTCACGTTCCGAGCGGATTCAAATATGATCTCCAGTGAATTGGACGGAGGCGTTTCGCTCGGGTAATTTAAGTTTGGAAAGCAATTTCGTCTGGGACAACAAGTAAATTTTTCCAGATGGAAAGAAGTGGAAGAATTCAAATCACCGAGCATAGAGGACATATAAAAGAATTATAGATCTCGATTACCTGTAGAGCACTAAAAATACACGAATCCTCCAAGTTTATTTCATTTTCAGCCTGAAGTACAAAGGGGTGGAGCGTTTCGGGATTAATGGAAATCGTGTTTAATGTTCCGCAGCAAATGTCTTTAGCAGTTCTAGAGGTGATTAGCTCGATAAACCGCATAAATCAATTTGCAACAACGCTACGAAACAAAGTACTTTATCAATGTACCGAAATTCCAAATACAATTTATAATTGGCACAAGCTTCAAATTGGCATCAAGAACATACTTTAAAGCATTTATATAAATGTATGGGGATAAAAAAGAAAGTTGTGATACTTTGCACCTCACTGGAAAAGGTTATAGTGTCTCATCACGTCAAGTTGTTTCATCATTACTACGTGGAGCTCTCATCAAAATTAATGTCGTCGGGGACTTCTTACGGCCCCATTCGCCTCAGCCAAGCTACATCTTCACACTATTAAAATAATGTTAACGGCACCGCACTCAATGTTTCTTTTCTTATTATATAATATTCATTCCCCGGGCTAAATGGCTTTCGAGATGGTGGCTTTAAAACCCTTTAAAAGTTACATAACTGCAACGAAATGCGCACAATTCGGTGATGGTGTCCGTCATCATCATCATTATTGCATTATCTCCGGCATATCTAGTTCTCGCCTAGACTGTTTAACAAAGGACGGGCCATTAATTCGGTCTGGATTTGAACTTCGAACCCGTAAGATCATTGTTTCCTATTGATCCAAATGGATTGTCTGTGGGGTTTGTGTATGTCTTGTATAAATTCCTTTTCAGGCATTCCTGAATCCCCCCGTCTCTTGCGCGTTTCGGATTATAATGGACCGACGATCCGGTCATCATCCCTTAATTCACTATTCGCAGTAATTAGCGGCCCAACTCGAAAAGTTCTCTGACATCTGTCATTCCGTACTCGACGTTCGGTTACATTCAAACCCTTTACAACATTCAAACTTTTATTCTACTAAACCATTTAAAAAAAAAAAGAACAATACAATTATAAATCGCAACAGTTTTAATAATACAAATACAATTTTATATATTTATACACAATTATGAAATATTTGTTGTATATTCTGAAAAATGCAAATTTAAAACGTGCATTTTAATAATTCATTGATGTTAAATACTTGCTGCAGCTTCCTATTATTTTTTCTTTGCCATTTGCAAGCTTCTTACCTATTTTTCTTTAAGTTCGTTTTAAATCCAGGAAAGAACGGTCACAGATCTCAAGAACAGAGCAAACTCATTGAAATATTCTTTTTTTTTTCTTTCCAGAGAATTGCAGATACACGAAAGGACAGTGGTCGGAATGCGATTCGTCGAACAACATGCGCTCGAGGACATTGACGCTGAAGAAAGGAGAACAGACATGCGAGCCGGTCAAGACTATGCAGAAGAAGTGCAAGAAAGGTGAGTTGCATATCATCCATCATACATACCACTCTTTGTATACCATGAGGTTGCATTTTCAATATAAAAGTAAAAAAAGATTTTGCTTTTCTTTGTAATAATTACTTTGTTTACCACTAAGAAATTGATGGTTAAGACTACTATTGAAATATGCAATGTACCGTTAACCTCGATTTCTCAGATGAAATCAATATCTTAAGGGAACTGCGTTTCTGCTTCCTCCATTGAATAATAACATGTCTGGTTGGATTTCCATATTAACTGGATGCTGTTTATCGGATGGAACGTAGATGTTTGATCCATTTCGCTATGCAGATGTATCACGAGGTTCGGCCCCAAAAGGTTCCACTCGAATGATTATTTCGTTCACGTATTTACTTATTACGCGATTATTGCCAACAAGAATAGTGAATACTCCCAATTCCAGATTCAATTATGGTGGAATCGCAGCACCGAATTTCCCCTCATCGGTATTTGCATTATCTTTGTCATATTAGTTACAATCCACTGGGCCGGTATTTCCAACAATTGTTTCAACATGAAAGCGATTATAGCACTCTAAAACTAAGTTCCAATAACGTTTAAGAATATTTTTACATACATTTATTTTTTAATATTTAACTTTTCGTCTTTGCTCTTTTAGTAGTTTAAGATTATAACGTCTGGAGGATTATTGATTCTTGTATGTTCTAAGAATACCTCAAGAGACGGAAACAGATGTTTCTGCGATGTTTTCTCTGAAGCCATGCAAATACTCGAACAATACGTAATTTTAAACATCCTACTGGAACATGGTTTACAATGGAGCACATATATGGAATAGTGATTAATGTTAATGTGAACCTCAAAGTGCAAAGTTCAATTATGTGTATACTGAATAGTTGTGATATATATTTGATATATGAATTGTGTACAGCTTCCGTCAAAGCGATACTAGTATAATAGTAGAATACAATTAATATAGATCAACCAATATATCAAAGTCCTGAAAGAAAAATTGATTTGAATTGCAATTTACTGTTTATGATGATTCCAAATATCGATTTAATTATAAGAATAGAATGCAGCTATTGACATTTATTCATTCATAATTTAATCAAGATCAATATTTCATATTTTTTATACTTATACATTTATATTACAACAATAAAAAATACACTTTCTATACAATATTAATAAAACAAAAAGTTAATTGCTGCAAAGGACAATTGACCATAGATTAGAAATTAAATTTTATTTATTACAGAAAAAAATAGAAAATTTTTGATAATAGTTCAAAATCTAAGTAATTTATTATTTTCTACCGCATTATCGTATTTTTTTTATATGAAATATTAGATGATTACAGTTGATAATAGTTTATATATTGTTGAAATGGCATCTGAAATGCGGAAGTTTAATTGTGCTCTACCATTTGTTCCATATATTTGATAAATGAATGCTGTGGGGTTTCAGTTTAGACAGCGCAATAATACCAGATTTCAATGTATATAAACTTTCGGGAACAATATATCAAAGTTCTGAAAGAAAGCAGATCTCGATTGCGGAGAATCTGTATTTATGGTGAGCTTAATGAACTTTGCGTCCAGATCTGGAGATAGTCGGAGAGAGGAAGATATTGGAAATTTGCATGCATTACAATGGTATCAATTCCGAAACCCGTTTCAGGTCGGTTTCAGATATCGAAACGTCGATCAGGGTATGTGCTGTATGTGGCGGAGGTGTTTGTGCGTGGATAGCCGAAAGGGGTTGGCTCCGTGGTCGGGGTTAAACCTCCCCCCGTGCAAATGCAATTACCATCTCGATTAGTATGGACTTTATGCGATTACCGTGTGCTAAATTACGTGTCTTGTATCATGCATTGGAATCCCTTGTTCAGTCCTTCCTCTTCCTTCCTACCTCTTCCTTCTCCTCCACCATCCACAGTTTGGGCAATAACTCGCTAATATTTAAATTAGTCCACACTCAGAACCAAGATTATACACACAGTTGTGCAACCATCCAGACCGATCGATCCTCATCGCATTGCACATTCATTACGGAATGCCACCAGGCTCCGTAATTATTAAGTAAACAGTTAATTGCGTTCGAAGCCGCCGATGGCAATGATCCCACCAACCCCAACTCCTTTCGCCTACGAATTGCATTCGAATGAATATTAAGAGATCGTAACAGGAAATTACCCGAACTCACGAAACTCTCCCGCCGTTTACACAACTCCTCCTGGGCTTTTCTTTCATTTTCTTTATTCCCATTTACGTAACGATAAACGTTAATTAGCTTCTTAATGGGTACAAAATTTGTCTGCATTTTTTCTCATTATTTTTTCATTTATTACAAAAAAAAATCTCAATTAACTTTAATGCCTTTAATATTTTCTTTTACATGGAATAAATTCAGTTATTTTTTTATATTTTCAACAACTAAATTATATAGAAAGTTAAATGATAAATATCAAGTAACGAATCACGAATATACTTTTACCAAGATTAAATTATAAAGTAAGTCAATTAATACTTCAAATTCTATATTAATTAAAAGCTATTTCTATTTGCAAATTAAAACGAATTTAATTAAAATAATTTCACCCATTAATTACAAATAAATATTGGGACATAGAAACAACTAATTAATATTGTAATTAAATTTTCCTAATTATTACGAATTAATCAGTATGGTTCAAATGAAGTGCTCAAACGTTTGTGTATTTATTGCTAATGAAGCCTGACTAGTGATTAACCCAACTGAGTATATTTGCATAATTAACTAACAACTATTTTATATTTTAACAATAATTCATAGATTTTATATCGAAAAAACGATTTGTAATTATTTATTTCAATCAGATTTAGTACATAATTAATGAATAAAATAAAAATAATTTTATTGTACATGATAAACATATAATGAAACACAATTCCCAACAATAATTAATTATTATATAAAATATATAATTACAGAAAAGTCCGTTCAATGGTGACTGTTTTAATACAAATATAAAATAAATTAAATTTTAATTATTAATTAATTTTATACAAAACCAATTTATTTATTATATAAAATTAAATTGTCTAAAACAAACATCAGATATAAATTTGTAATGATTTTTTATAAATGAAACATGATTATGTCAAATTATATAATTAAGTTGCATGCATACAAAAACTCTATTATTCATCAACTTAGAAAAGTATTCTCAGACAGTTTTAACTAATTCTCCGTTTGTTTTCATTCAACGTCGAAAGAAACATTTGCGGAGCAACAAACAAAACGTGAATTTATTGCGCGCATTAAATTGCATCGAGAAAACCAAAAAAAAAGCAATGTCTGCACAAACAAACATGCTTCTAGCTAAATTTACCGTCGTCGTGTTGTTTCGGACATTTACACTCTTGTAAAACGGCTGCTATTTATTACACGATAAATCCAGACTTTTTGCACGAAAAAAAAAAATTTAAATATACAAGTTTCCTAGCAACAACACGAACGTGAAACTGAATTCCGTATTAATTAAAACTCTTGCTGTTGAAGTTATAATGAGTTGCATAAGCTTACTATATAATATTACATTATTAGTAAATTATATTGAAATTACTACAATTACTTACATAATTTATAAACATTTTTAAAGATTTGAAATGTTTCAATATTTTTTATAAAACATCGATGATCTTTAAGGATTTTTGAATAGGTTTTAGAATGATTTTCTATCTTACATTTCGTTTTCTTTCAAAACTTTTGAGTTTCCTAAACTTAATTTTAAGTTGCTACCTTTTCACTTCTTGTTGTAATTTTCCATATAGGTGTTTTACTTTGACGCTGGGCATTTTTGTTAAAAGTAGTCTTGTTCATTACTAAAATTTTTCTAAAAGTTTTCTATAATAGTTTCATATCGTTGTTTGAATTTATAGAATAGAAAGATTGTAATTGTATAAAATGTAAAATAGTTGAATAAATAAATGTATTTTTGTGAGAAATGCAATTATATAATTGTTGTATATAAATAAGTTTAAAGTGAATGTTATATTTATACAGGAGACGCAACGATACGTCTTTAAATAATTGCTTGGAATAATGCATAAACAAGCAATGAAGATACACATAAAATATGGCAAAAGGACATAAAAGCGGAAGCGCACAAAAATATTCATACATTTGAATAATACAAGTCGAGACTGCAGAAGTCCCCTTCAGTTTTCGCTTCCCCAATTCCGTCACATTGTATTTATCTTATTTCGCTCTTTCTCTCGAGGGTAATAAGTCATGGGTTGAGGAAAATGGGCCGAAAAATCTCCGCGAACATTGATTGATCCGATGGAAGGATCCATCCACTCTCCTCTCTCTAAGAAGGCAAACAAAGAACATTTTACACGAAACACAAATCTCGTCCTTCGAGGATAAATAAATCCCTGTTAAAAATGTGCTGGGTTTACACTCGTGGGTGTGTTTATTTATTTATTTTTTCGGGGGTTAGTAGGAAAGAAGAAAGTTTCAATCCCGTTTTGCGTCGAATAAATCGGACATGAATCGCGCAATAAATAAAATAGTCAAAGTCTCTTGCTCTCTGCCTCGCAGATAAATCAAACGGGCATCTCTTCAACCTCTTTTATCTTCTTCCCAGAGGTTACCGAAGGTGATCCGAGACGTCTGTATTTGTTCCCCATCAATCAACCGATGTAGTACTATCTAAAGCGACGCGTTGATAGATTCCGAATCAAGAATTTTTTATTTTACTCTTTTATCAATTCAATGGTTTATTCATTATCTCTGAACGACAACGCATAACTTAAATCGCTTCTCATTGACAACTTTTTTTTGGGTCAATAACTTCCTCGAGATACTCCATTATTTCATATTTAATTATATAAAACATCGCTACGCGATAAAATACAATTAAATTATAGTTACAAAACAAACAATTGTAGTCATTCATAATAAATACATACTAAAAAATATCGTACATATCGTTGGTTTAAAATTGGAAATTTTATAAAAAAAAAAACTGAAACTTTTAATATACTTTTCATAGTTAATATTTTATTAACTTTTGCTCAGGAAAGAATTTTGAAAAAAGAATGAAAAATTTTCAGAAAATATTAAGTTTAACTGCTAACAATGTTAAATAAAATAAATTATAAGAAATTTTCGAAAAATACGTTTTTTTTATTTAGTGCTAATGAATCCTGACTAGAAGTGAGTATATTTGCATAATTAACTAACAACTATTTTATATTTTAACAATAATTCATAGATTTTATATCGAAAAAATGATGTGTAATTATTTAATTCAATCAGATTTAGTACATAATTAATAAATAAAATAAAAATAATTTTATTCTACATGATAAAAATGTAATGAAACACAATTCCCAACAATAATTAATTATTATATAATATATATAATTACAGAAAAGTCCGTTCAATGAACGAATTATTAATTGATTTTATACAAAACCAATTTATTTATTATATAAAATTAAATTGTCTAAAACAAACATCAGATATAAATTTGTAATGAATTTTTATAAATGAAACATAATTATTTCAAATTAAATAATTAAGTTACATACAAAAACTCTATTATTCATCAACTTAGAAAAGTCTTCTCAGACAGTTTTAACTAATTCGCCGTTTGTTTTCATTCAACGTCAAAAAAAGGATTTGCGGAGCAACAAACAAAATATTTTCAGAAAAGATTAAGTTTAACTGCTAACAATGTTAAATAAAATAAATTATAAGAAATTTTCCAAAAATACGTTTTCATTCAATTTCACAGTGCAAAATGAATAAAGAAAATTGTGTACATGAAGTATTTAGTAGTGATTTAGTTCTATTGAACATCTTTGTTATTAATCAAATTATTTTAAAAGCTTCTGTTTTTAACAAATTCAATCAAGTGATAGTGCATTATTCTGAAGTTACTGACATCCGCAAGACTGGAAACCGACTCGGCCCATCTGTTTTGCATGCTGAATTACGTAATGTGTTTTTGCGTATTTTTTCTCCATTATAGTAGTCTGCGAGAGGAAATGATTTCCGGGGCGGAGGCGGCGCACTAGGGGGAATAGACGGCTCTCTCACATTTTCCGCCTAGGTTGGAAAGTGCAGAAGCACAGAGTGACGAAGAAAAATGGTACCGGAATGAGATTGGGCTTTGCTTTCGTCGTCGTCGAGGGGCGATATCGCGCCGTTGCAAATTATTGTTGCCCCATTTCCCGTTTCCATTCCAACGCCCCTTTTTCACTGTGTGTCTCGCACACAATGCAGGCAGCACATTCAACCCCCCAAAACCGGGGGCGGCTGTGTTCCATGGGACTGAACTGTTATTGGGCCAGTTTAAATCGTAATGCAGTGAAAACCGCAGAGCGTTAGGACGGACCGGAAAAAAAACGAAAGGGTTTTGTATGCATGCTGGTGATGTGTTGGAGGAGAGAAGTGCCGGAACCTAAACTGGAATTAGTTCTGGCCAAGTTTCAGACACGACCCCGGGGGGACCTAAAAGGGGACGTGCATCCCAAGTGGCGTCATTATTTCAAGGATTGTCTCCACCAAAAAAAAAGGGACAACATCTCCAGTTGGGAATTGCTAATTGAGAATTAAGATAGTATTATTTATACCTAATATTGGTCAAATTTGAACTGAAACTAAATAATAAGTATCAATAAATTAGCTAGGATTATACAACATTTTGAAGATGAAATGAAAATCCAATAATTACATCCTTTACTAAACATAAAACAACTATAAAAATGTTGTAAAAAACTCGAATTAAATAAATGAAAATAAATTCTGCTGATCACAAATATACATAAAATTTGCTACAATTATTTGAAAACTTGAAATGTGTGTGTGTTTTATAATAAGAATATAGCCAATTTAATTAATTTATAAAATGTAATTTCATTAATAATATTTATAGGCCAGAGATACATGTATGTAAAGAAATATAAATTCCAGCAAGTAAAAAATAAAGATTGTTTTTATTTATGAATAAATATTAATTTTGTTATTGTATTTTGTATGGAAAACATTTTTTCTAATGGTAAAACTTATAAGAGTATGTGAAAATTTGACAACTTCATTCGCTTATCTACGTAGTAACTTCAAAGCGGTTTCTAAAAATTGAATAGCAAATTCGCTTAAAATTATCAAAAGGCATCGCTCTTGCGTAAAAGTAATCTAAAAGGAAATTGCTGTATTTCGTCGGAAAGGGAGGAAGAGGAGTAGGAGAGTTCACATTGTGCTACATTGCGATATTAACAGTTGGCTTTCCACGCGAAATTCGAGAGGGGAAAAAATATGATTGTTATGCGAAACCCGTAATGGCGCCAATAACAATATCCACCCTTGTCATCCGTTGAAACATCCATTTTTGCGGAGCCGTCGACGCACGTATAGCATTTAATACCGCGTGAAATTGGAAATGATATATCATTTCGTCCGAAAAGTGGAGCGCGAATAAAAATATATACGTATATAGAAAGCTTTCTTCTCTTTCTTTTTTTCTAATAAACCTCTTCGCTTTCATTGAATAATTGAATTTATTTTTATGCAATTTTGAGTCGTGAATCGGGGAGATTGGAAAATGCGGTGAACGTCTATTATGTAAGTCCATACAGATGGAGAGAGAGGCTCTCTCTTCCTTTCGAAGTCCTTGCAGAAAGCCTCGGAGTGTGATTTTCCAATAGCAAACAGGATTTCGTCGCACGCTCTCCTTTTATATATCATCCCCTCAACGAAGATCCTCAACATGTGGAAACGTGCGGATCGATGTGTGATGCCTTTGAAAATAAATATTGCCGTAAATCTTTTTCGGCAGGACTATTTGTGTTGTACACCTATACACATCCGGTTTTCGTTTCCTCTCGAGGTGGCTCTTCGCCAAAGCGGAAAACATGACGGATCCAGAAATAAATCCTCCATCGAATCCTCGCCAGAACTGCGAACGCTAATAAACCGGATTTATGATCTAATTAATCCTGCATATTTTCGCTGCCGAAAATTTCGCGTTTACCTGTATTAGCTGGGATTACGATTAATCGTCTACCGCCCCTCGCATTTCATCTAAGCTCGTATATTTCATGCATAGATTTTAAATTACATTTGCACCAAAATGGGGAAACTTGATGTAATATATTAAATCATATATGAACTTATAAACAAGAAATTACTTATATAAACACGTTACGTCTCTCATTTTCACCATCAAATTTGATGTGCTACGAACAATTTCCATTATACATTATTAGGGTTATGCAAAACGAATTCCATTTCCATTGGAAGCACTTCATTTAAGCAAGAGATTTTTTTTTTCATGTCGCTCCGACCTTTTTCAATTAGGCGACTAAATTCAACCCTTAATTAAAAGGAGGAGGGAACTTCACTTCACTTGTACGTATATTTCGAGGAAAAAAAACGCGAAAAATGCTCGGCTCGGCTCAATTAGTCCTGATGTTTTTTCGTTTATGCATAAAAATATGTATTTAAATGACTACAGACTGGAAAAAAATAAATGAATAAAAATTGTGGGGCCTGGCGCATCCGCCAAAACTCGATTTTCCGCTTCTACGGTTGCGCACTTTTGCATTCAAATGCGAGACCGCATTTTTGTTCTCTCCTTCTTCCATCCTCGGCCACTTTCATACGAATGGGAATTATTTGCGTGGAAACGAGATTGAATCTATGGTACTTTTACCCTTTGACGAGTAAATACTACAACATTTTTCGCTCCGATTTCAAAGGCCGATGTTCCTTTTTTTTTGTAATTTTCACAGCTCACTAACTGAAATTTCATATTTATCCAGTTATAGCACTGAAATCCAATATTTTTATTTTTACAAAATTTTGTTTCAAGTTTTTTCTCGTTACCAACACTAAATTTACAGAACACTTGAATTTAACATATTTTTAATTTCTATAATAAAATTAATTTAATGAAAATAAATCTCATTTAATTATTTATAAACTATTAATTTTTACATAAATTATAAACAAAGAGAAGCAAAATCATTGACATTTTACTTCAAATGATTACAGACATACAAGTAAAAATAATATTTAAGAAAGCTATATTATATAACATTGTCCAGTTTCTTATATAAATTTCTTTGTGGTTGCAGCTTGTAGATACGAGAAGGGAACTTGGGGTCCTTGCAATGCCCAAAGCCAGATGACGCGGAACGACAAGTTGAAGCCCAACTCTGATTCTTCGTGCGAACAAAACAGGCAGGTCACGAAAAAGTGCAAATCGAAGGGGGGAGCCAAACCGACGAAAGGTAAAGGTAAAAACAAAGGTATTACACATTTCATTCATTCCATTTCATTTACACATAATCAAGCGATATAAATAACTTATTAACAATTACATATTTACATATATAAATTGATAAAAAAATAAATAATATTTATATTAACAAACACTTTCTATTTGATAAGTTATATAAGAATTTAGGAATTTAAAGGTCTTGAAGTTTTATTCAATTTAATGCTTGACCCAAAGCTATATACTAAATTTTGTAGTTCAGAATTTGTGGAGACCGGACTCTGTAGCCGTCTCAATTTTCTTGTCAACGCCTTTCACAGTGGGGTTCTCTACATACCGGAAAGATTAATGACCCATATATACGATCCCTTGAAGATCACCGACTCGAAAACATTGTCCTTGCTGAATTTCTGAATAGACCATCCACCCAAAACGCATTACACTCAATTGAATATTTATATCAATAAAGATTGACTTAATCCAAAAAAAGTGTAAATTCAACAAAAATCATTACAAATGCAATAAACTTTAACCTGTTTATATATATATTATATTTTGTACTGATATTGACGTTTCACATTAATTAATATAAATGAAAATGATACTCGATTGGAAAGATGTGATTTCCTGAAAGGTTCCATCAATTATTGCATTTCCCCTTTCTGTTTCTAAGTATGCCCACGCCCTTCATCACTCAATATCAAAGAGTGTAATTGCAATCCCATTTAAACGCGAGTATTTCTTTGCTGATCCTACCTCCTGTTTTTTTCCCGTTTTTCGTTTCCGTGTCGACTAGGAAAGAAGTAAATCATATCTGGATGAAAGGTCCCAGCACCGAAAACTGTCAACGAACGCCTTAATAGAGAATTTATTTTGCCTCCCTTTCATCCACTTAATGCATTCTTAAGCGTTTCCATAATTTAAGGGCTATCCTATACCGCTTTTCCTCCACGTAACATTTTCTTATTAAGAGTATCGATCGATTTTAGATATACACACTGAACATGAGAAATACAGTGTTTCATCTTGTCTTTGAAGGATTCTAATATTTAATTAACGCGCGTTGCCGGTGGAGAGGAAATGAATAAATAGCTTTGTTTGTTTCAGTTTGAAGCGAAGCTTTACAAGTTAATTTAGTTAGTTATAACATAAGATGGAAAATTCCCGAGAATCGTATTGTCAATAAGTTGGAAGATGCTGTAGGAAAGGAAAGCTCTCTTTCTCTATCGAGTATAACTAAATTACAACCCCTCGGGCGCGGCTCCCTTAAGATTTATTTCCCCATTTGTTTAATTGACGGAAAATAACGAATTTAAAATGCATTGGACTGTTGCTAGGCTCACGCTCCCTTAAATTGCTAGAGCGTACCTTACAGGAAAATTTACCGCCAACCTTCAATCAAGTTCCCAACCCCTATTAAATATTCAACGATTTTTTCAGTCTGATTAGACACGTTGAAGCTCTCTTTTTATTTCCAGGTATATTTCCAACATTTTATCAAATAATAGAACTAATAGCAAACTAAAAGAATAAGGAAGGTTAGGTTTATAATTATATTAAATTATTATGACGGAATTATACATTTAAATTGTAAAGCAAAAGATTCAAGTATATTTTCAATATTATATCAAACAAATATACATAATAAGAGAGCATTTCAGTCTGGATCAGGTGAACTTCTATCGATTTCAAAGTAAAACCAAAGGGAATAAGATGCAATATACTTCAATTAGAAGTGGATGTCCCCTTTGCGATTGGGTAGTTTTGAGAGCGCAGCGACAATGCCTCTGGTTCGTCGTAAAAGAGGGGCTCCCTTTCATTAATCGCTTCCTTTGAAACTCATCTTCTATTTATCCGCCAATGTAATTCAATGCATTTGCTCGAGTTCTAATTTAAGTTGAAGAGATTTAAACACACTTTATTTGCTTATAGTCTTTTCGCCTTCTCGTAAAAAAAAATCCTTCATCTCATTCGCTTCATCCATTAGGTGTTTGCAGGGAGAAACTTCTAACCCAGTTTTATTACTGCTTTCGCTATTTAATATAATACGTGGGGCGTGGGAAGTTATGTTTTCTGTCATCCAAGAAAACCGGAAATCGAGTTTCGATAATACCATAACCCCACGCCCTTCGCTAGTTAAGTTTTTTTTTCCGTGCCAGGAAGAGCTTCCACTCCTTGCCCTCGCAGAAGAGAAGCTCATTCATTATGACCCTACGTGATTTTCGGCGAGACGTGACGTCACGCCACCCTTAGCTCGCCTCGTCCTTCTCCTAATGACGGGGAGTTTTTCTATTTTTTTTTCTACCACCCCCCCTCGACGAGAAAAAAAGGGTGGCACTGGATCCCGAGAAATTAATGGCGGAAATATCCGACGATCGGAATTCATTACGGGCGATTTTTTTATCCACAAATAAGAAGACGGGAAAATAGCGAAACAGATGTGGATGAGAATACTGATTGGATTCATATCTTTTCCGTGACTTGCGTTTGGTATTTAATATTGAGATAGTTTATCTTGAGGAATAAATCTTACATCAAAATGGAAAGAGTCTAAAGTTTCTTTCAAAACATTTTTTAAGAAATTTAAATTCTTCATAAATTATTAAGAAAATATATCAAACTATATGATTAAAATATCAATAAAAAAAGGGGAAATAAAATCAATTAGTTTCGTAATATTTGATATTATTGAAGAAAAGTATATAAATCTTACATAAAAATGGAAAGAGTCTAAAGTTTCTTGCAAAACATTTTTTAAGAAATTTAAATTCTTCAAATTATTTAGAAAATATATCAAACTATATGATTAAAATATCAATAAAAAAAGGGGAAATAAAATCAATTAGTTTCATAATATTTGATATTATTGCAGAAAAGTATATAAATCTTACATAAAAATGGAAAGAGTCTAAAGTTTTTTGCAAAACATTTTTAAAAAAATTAAATTCTTCAAATTATTAAGAAAATATATCAAACTATATGATTAAAATATCAATAAAAAAATGGGAAATATAATCAATTAGTTTCATAATATTTGATATTATTGAAGAAAAGTATACAAATCATAGTGAAATATATATCTTATTACATATATTTGAGAATATTTATGGAACAAACGATAAGTTTTAAATCGAATGTCTACTGAGACTACAAAGAATACTTCGATACGAGCTAAAAAGCTTATATTATAAAATATTTCCATAACAATGTTTTATTTACAAAAGATTCCGCTTTTAACCTTTAAGATTTATACAAAGGCTTTACGTAATAAATTATATTTAAAGCAAACAAAAGCCTGGTTTAATGCACGTTTCTTTTTAGTTTCTTTTTTCTCCTGCTTTTTATTTACATCGTGAATTTTGTCTTTGAAATGAAACTATATAAATCCTCTTGAAATACAAAGAGTATTTCATTTCATTCATATATTTTTAAGAAACAAATTCCACCTACATCCTATTAAATTAATATTACTTTTACAACAAAAAATCATAAGATTAAATCACATAAATTTCTAATCTTATAGTAATAGATTTTTTTATTGAAACCAATATAATATAAAGTTTAAAAAAAAAAACTAGAAATAATGAACAGTATATATATATTATATACATACCAATATAAAAGGATGAAAATCTTATTTGTACTGTGTAGCAGACCGGATTTTCTATATTTTCTATACATTATATAATACCTGAGCCCTTCTGAGAACAAGAAACCCCACCGGAGTCGTTGCACGGTCCAGATTAAAGCCATATTCAACGTGTTCGGGTCTCCTATTTTCAGATTGGGGATTTACTTATATGGCTCTTTTGAACTACTTCTATCTGACACATAGTGCATATCGATATAGCATAAACACAATATCTTAAAACATATTTACTCTACATTTGTCGCAAAATCCTTTAATCCGTCCATTTAATAAATTTGATATCATCACTAAACTAAAACGTAAAATCAATAAAATGGAATTAAAATGAAATTAAATATATCTAAGAAGTAAAATATTGCTTGTATAATAAAGTATGTACATAAAACAAAATGTTTGTGAAATAGTTTTTTAAGCTTTGAAGATTCTTTATGTAATATATTTTTATAAAGCAAAAGTTTTAATAATTTAAAATGCATTTTCAGTAAATAAACCATGAGTTTGGCACATATTGCTTGGGAGTACAGAAAAATGCTGCTCGTCGCGAAAATTCGAAACAGATATTGATACCTTCCTGAAAGGCGGATGATAGAATTTTCATGCGACGATGATCGATACGACGTGGTTCTTATTTACATTCGAAACAAAGATGGGGTGGAGGGATGATGATTGATCTGAGCGGCACCGAGGGTTGTGGGTGGATATGGTTCTATTTTCCCTTGACGGAAATTGTTAGTTTTTCATTTTCTCTCCACGGCACGCTTCACCAACAAAGATATATCGCTTTCCAATATTTACAATACGAATTATACCCACATCATATCAACATACGCATACCCAATTTCATCCCCGTTTATTTTTTTCTAAATGTATTTCTTTCTTCTGTTTCAGCGGGACGTCGCAACAACCGCCAGTAAAGAGTCAACTTAACCAAAAAAAAACAACAACAAGAATATAGAACCGATTCCTGTTATCCCCAACTGTCTGGTATTTCCATCCCTTAACATCTACAACCTCCCACCCCCTCTCATCATGAATTAAACACACGGGACTCCATTTTATCGTCGTTTTCTTCCTGTGGGATTCGGTTCACTGCCACCACGTATTTACCATTCCCCAGATATCGCACGTCAGAGTTTCAAAAATAAAGAAATCACAGTTAATATCCAAAATAATAAATTTCACTCAAGCCAATTCCCAGCCTCCTCCCTGTATATACCAGTTTTTTGTTCTCACTACTTTCTACACTAGGATGGTAAAATCAAAAAAAAGAAAAGAAAAGATGATTAAGAATAAAAATAAACATATGCTATAACCACAAGTTTCTAAAATATGAATGTTTAGGGCGCGTATAAAGGAACCCGATCTACTAAAATAAACACTTCTCTATCTCTCTAGTTTCGTGTCAAATAACATATGTAGTGTGACCCTTGACCCAACCGCATTTAATAAGTGTATACCACCGAGTGGTCCTCCTAGACCACTCGCATTTAGTGTCTAAAAAGAAACCTTTGGTCTATGCTCCAGTCCCCCAGTTCATCCCCCTCCGATTCCCAACTCACATGAAGTGTATAGATGTTCTCGTTGTAGGGTGTACAATAGTATGGAATAATCATCGAAGCAGAATACTTACTATTATTATATTGATGTAATTGTTAGTTTTAATGGTAAAAAAAAATATAATAACACCCCACTCCCCATTTAGGATTTATTCTAGTTCAGATTTAGGAAACACGCATTTATCAAAGAATATACATTAGAAACAGAATCTTCTCCCATTGAGAAATAAAATAATAATAATAATAATATGTAATTCCCCTCACAACAGTTTATCCATTAATTGATATTTTTTACTTATATAAATGTGAATGTGGTTATTCATAATAATTATAATATAATAATAATAATGATATATCATGTATTTGACATATTTAAAAAGACTTTCGAAATAAAATAAAGAGATACAAAAATAATAATAATAATGAAGTTTCAAAAATCTAATCGATTCCCGTTCGTTTTTCTCGATTAACTCGTGGAATTTTAATTGAGCATTTCTTGGGGCGTCTCGATATTGTTTCATGCGTCCAATTAGATGGCTAATTAAAAAGTTTCGTGCTAATATTGATGGAGAAGTTTTTCCGCTTCTTCGGAAACTATGGACGCGGGCGGCGCGTTTTTGTACTTATTCGCCAACGCAGCACTTCGTAAATACTTCCTCCCATCCAGTCATATAAAGTTCTGCATTTTATATTGCGAATACTTGCAAATTGGAGCCCTTCTTGTAGCGGCGGTTGAGTAATGGGCAGCAGGAGGAGGGCAGATTAAATTCTACGAAATTATCAAGTTCATAATCTCATAAGTACACGTTGATAAAGTTATAATTACCAAAGTAACATTCAATCCTGTTATAGACTTAGTCGGAAGCACATAACGATGTGGTAATGATAAGAAGCACGGGCGCGGCCTCATCAATTCTTATTATTATCAATGGAATATGATGGAGAAGGTAAGTGATTACGTAATTACTGAACGATCATTTAGTATTATATAATTGTATAAACAGTACAAAATTTCCAGATTTTTACTCGTATAGTGAAACATATTCAAAAACACACATAATATGTGTACAACAAATTTTAAAAATGATGTAGCGGGAACGCAATCTGGGACTTCTCTTCTCATCCAATTTACTCTTTATGCGAAACGTCGCTCGTTAAGCGAAATGCTCGTTATACGAGGTACTCATTAAGTATTGTATACTGTTTATACACTTATAAAGGGTGTCCCAAAATTAACGCAAGATTTGAATGAAATAGAAGTTCTTAGTCTTCAGATTGTGATAAAAACTGTGTTTTCTATTTAATTCAAATTTAGCGTTAATTTTGGGTTACCCTTTATAATACTAAATGATCGTTGTGTTATTATAATTCCCAAAAAAAAATTGTTAAGGTCTGTCTACACATCTTCACTAAACAATAGTTACATCATTCTCATTTAATACTAAAGTAATCCAAATCTTAGGTGTTATTATTTCTGTATGAAATTTGTTATATACAACACACTACTAAAACTACCTAGCAGCGACCACCATAAGGAATACACATATACCAGAATTACTGAATAAAGTTTTTAGACTAAAGCTTATATTTAATATCTAGTAAAATCAAAATAGATAATTAACAATGCTCCTAGAAATAGATTTGAAAAGAGTAAGTATTGAAATGTAAACTAAACTAAATTCCTCAATGATAAAATAATTTTAAACAAATAATTTTGTTTTTGTATACAAATATATAGTTAATTGAAATTGTGTATAATAATATATGTTTGTTGAATTCCCATGATTTGTAATCACTAAAATAACAAACAACCCTATTTTTATTTACAAATAATAATAATAATAATGAACCGATTCGAATAATTTGCAACTGTTTGTTAATTGAAACCAGTATTTAGGAAAGTTCATTTTCCGAATTCCCGTTGTTGTTTGTTTGAAACCGCTGAAATAACTTTGTCGAATGCTGCGGATGCACGTATTTTTTGTTTTATATATAATTCTATCACAAAATACAGTTTCGTTTGCAGAATGTAATTAATTGAAAACGCATTATCGGCTTCACCAATTATTAATTAAACAAAAGTAATTACAACACCTTTTTCACTGTATCAATAGTTTATTAGTATTCATTAACAAACATTTTAATTTTAATTAATTAGTTATTTTAATTTAAATTAATTAGAATTATCTTTATTAATTTATTAAGTATACAAAGATTTGAAATATTTAAATATTTCATCCAAAGTTTTTGTTAATTTTACTAATTGTACATGAAAGTAATTATGTAACCTTTCTGAATTATATAGAAATTCTGAATAATTGTTACAAATAAATTAAATATTGCAAACTTGTTGAATTCGATTTAATTTACTAAAATGGACTAAAGTTTAAATGAATATTTATGAAAGTTTTTGTCCTGCAACATTTCTATTGTTATTGAAGAAATGTTTGCGTCTTCCAAGCACTAATACAATGTAATAAGAGCGACCGACTGTTTTTAAGTCCATCGTAAGGACCGATTTCAATCCATTAAAGTATTCTTTCGCAACGAATTGGCATTACATATTTCAACGTTCCGAGAGCCAATATAAACTTATCCAATATTTCGTCGGGATGAAATGGTTCTCCGAAAATTTATACACGCATTAATGTGGTAGCAAACAAATCCAGTTACTTGAGTTGCGCAATAAAAATGCAGATTCGAAGAATTTCGATATACGAAATAAAGATTTACCGTGACAAATGCATCTTCCACAAATGGTAGCTTCGCATAAAGCTTCATCCGACCGAATTTTTTATGTTGTATTTTACGTGTTAGACTCTAAATTTTAGGGCCGACGCTAATTCCGGACGCAATTTAATAATTAGTACCTTCTGCAGTTGGCGCCATTACCATACGAGAACTGGGGAAAACAGTTTCCAGTTGAAATGCGTTAATATAGCAGTATGTTGCTTACATTAGAGCCGGCATTTCAGAGGGAATACATAAATTAGAGCGTTTCAAACATTAATGTTGCCGATGTGATTAAAATTTAGGGGATGATAAAGAGGATGAGAGGCATAGACATCCAATATATGTAAATACTTTTGGAATGAATAAATTCTGTTGGAAAAAGATCATCCGTTCCGATCAGGGAATGTTGTTGAAGGAAAACTTTCTGTTTCCATCTCTTTCCATTTCACGTGCTATGTGTGTACATCTCGTTTCGTTGCCGGCAGCAGCGCAAGTCAATTAAAATCCAACACAACGAGGTTTGCTGAACGGATCCCAGCCACTTGCGAATCGAATTTGTAAAGGAGCAATTTCCCAGTTCCCTCTTATTTGAACAATTAGAGTTTCACGCCTGGAAAATCGATCTGTCCTTCTACTCACAGCAGACGCAAATTAATTTTTGCGAATGAATATACATATATAAAATATACATATTCAACTACAAAAAAAAAGGGATGCATGTACCCGGCGCATACGTCCGAGATTTACTCTTATTTTCTCCTGAAATTATTTTTTTTTTCTCCCCAAGCAAAATACGGTTTGAATTTTAATAACGTTTCGTATATCATGCTCGCATTAAATTCCGTCTGAAAATTGCCGTAATAAATTTTAATATTTATTGTATCATAAATAGGAAATGCGGATCGGCGCACTCTGTGCACGTCGCAATGTATTTTGCAAAATGGCGCGCGTTATCAATAATTGACGATAGTCTGCGCGACTTGAAAAGTGCTGTAATTGGTATACAGTGATTAATATTAATATGTCACGGGATGCGATGATCCTGCTGCTACTCGTTGTCCTCGTTCTCATATACGTACTCATCCGACGCGGATCGTTTCCTCCCATGCATCAACGTGTTTTCAGGTATAAATATTATATGGAGGGTGACTATAATGAGCGTATGGGGTGGTCCCAAGCGTGCACTTTGCGGGGACGTGAAAATTGTATCATAAATTGATGACCCGTGCTTCGGATTAAGCTTTGTCACGCTCAAAATTATCCTTGGCGAAAATATTTTCTATGCTGCTATATATAAATAGGATTCTTTATATAGTCGATGTCCCTTTACAAGAGCTTTGTATGTTGAAGATTAAAAATATATACTACCAACGACAATTTATACTTCAAACATTTTCACCACCAAGACCTAAATATATTAAAGTATCATCTAAACTCTTTCAAATATAAACTTCAAATTAATCCAATAATAACAAAAGTATCTAAAAAACAACTCATTCAAGAAACAATAATACTCAATTAATACAAACTATATAAGTTATAATAAGAAGAGGTTTCGACCTCTTATCACTTATCACTTTGCTTAAGAATTGTAGATAGTAAATGATCCTACCGATATGTGACTGGCAAACAGATCGACAGGACCCAGCTAAATGTGAAGAGGTTTCCAGAAGGAAGGTCATTACCGGAAGAAGAAGAAGGAAGTTATAATAAAATACAGAAAATTCATCCATGAAGTAAATGAGTTGTAATATGCAATAATCAACATTATGAAATATTATACGTGATGGGTCTATATCGCAAGTCCGACAACCGAAATCCCGACGTTCGAAATCCCGACTATATCAAAATCTCAACAACCATAATCCCGACAAACATAATCCCGACTATATCAAAATCCCGACTATATTGAAAATTTTTACAATAACATTTTTAAATTATTTCGGAGCGTAGTCACATTGTGCTACACTTTTATTATTAATAACAATAAATTATTATTAATTTATTTGATTTTGTTGATTTATTCATAATAAACCTTAACATTATGAAATAATTTCAAATACAATTAGATTATTAATTGTTATTATTTATTATTTAGCAATTTAAAAGTCACTACGCTCCGGAATAATTTAAAAATGTTATTGTAGACATTTTAGATATAGTCGGGATTTTGATACAGTCGGGATTATGGTTGTCGAGATTTTAATATAGTAGGGATTATGGTTGTCGGAATTTCGATACAGTCGGGATTTCGAACGTCGGGATTTCGATACAGTCGGCATTTCAATCGTCGGGATTTGTATACAGTCGAGATTTCGAACGTCGGGATTTCGATACAGTCGGCATTTCAAGTCGGATGATACGCGAGATTGATCNAGTTTATACAGCGATTTACGTCAGAATTTCTGATGTACGGGGGCTGCGATTACGATTGGATTTCGATACAGTCGGCATTTCAATCGTCGGGATTTGGTATACAGTCGAGATTTCGAACGTCTGGGATTTCGATACAGTCGGCATTTCAAACAGTCGATTTCCAATAGCGGGATTTCGATACATTCGGCATTACAAACGTCAGGATTTCGATACAGTCGGGATTTCGAACGTCGGCATTTCAAACGTCAGGATTTCGATACAGTCGGGATTTCGAACGTAGGGATTTTGTTACAGTCGGCATTTCAAACGTCGGGATTTCGATACAGTCGGGATTTCGAACGTAGGGATTTCGATAGCCGGTATTTCAGTTGTCGGGCTTGAGATATAGACCCAATGTGGTTGCAGGATTTTAATATATCGGGATTTTGATAGTTGTGATATAGTCGGGATTATGGTTGTCGGGATTTCGATACAGTCGGGATTTCAAACGTCGGGATTTCGATACAGTCGGGATTTCAAACGTCGGGATTTCGATACAGTCGGATTTCAACGTCGGGATTTCGAACGTCGGGATTTTGATACAGTCGGCATTTCAAACGTCAGGATTTCGATACAGTCGGCATTTCAAACGTCAAGATTTTGATACAGTCGGGATTTCGAACGTCGGGAATTTGATTGACGGTATTTCGATTGTCGAGCTTGCAATTGCCACCGATACGTAATGACCAGCAATTAACACTGAACCTAATGACACTTCACGTATACCTATTAATATCACGACCGTCTTCAAAACAACTTATATTTATTAATATAGAATAACAGTGAACAAATAAAGCTTCTTTTATTTAGAAGTAAATATTGTAAATTTTATTCGTTTATACCGCATTTTTAATTATGTTTTTAGACAATTGATTATTTTCCATTTAAGGTTAAAAATGTAATGGTTTCAATGAAAACATATATTTTTCAAATTTATTGAAAAGTAAATATATATAACTATTTGAAATAGTAATAGAAAACAATAATTAATTCTGGATAATTAATATTTAGATTTAATTTTATTGTAATTAGTAATACCATTGATTAAATTAATGATGTGTGTCGCATTAGATTGTAAAGTTAATTAAAACAAATCAATATTGAACTAATCAAATGTTCAGCATTTCAAATAATAAACCTATTTGATATTTACAATGAAAATCATACATCATACACATATTTATAAAAAAAATTGTGTGCGATGTTTAAATATCTGTATTATTTATTACAAATTGTATATTTTTATAACAATTTGTTTTACCAAACAGAAAATAATATTATCCGACCATTAAAAACTAACAAAAACTAATTGGGTAAAATAAATAGCGAGTTAAATATAATGTCCATACAAATAACGATAATAACATCATTCACAAAACAGAAAATTATAACTACATCAAACGAACCAATCGTATATTTGGAATGCGATGGTAAAAATGAGTTGCAATTATGCAACCAACGGCCCCCTCCTCACTTACGCGCAACATTAATGATGGTTTTAGTTCGGACGCAGCGCACTTCAGTAATGAGTAGTGAATATTTTATCAGAAGCAACGGCGGTTTTGTTTATATAAACGGGGATTTGATAGTGGGGTAGGTTCGAACCCTGGGTATTTGAATGAGAAATAATCAGTTGGCTATGTGTTTATCTCCAGTGGTAATCCAATGAGAGTGCATATTGTTTGCTGTTTTGGTTAGCACTGCATGACCAAAACGGCCTTACGCTGTGTAGCCGTGCAAACGACCGCCGTACAAATGCACAGTGGATTACAGATGAGAGTTCAGGTGTACTATTAATAATTACCGGTTTGCTGAATAATGCACAGATTTAAATGGGAACGCATTGTTTGCTTGCGGCCATCCCTATGTTTATTATTTCTATGTTTTACACGCTGTTTCTATGGAATATAAACAGAAGCGGCTACAAACAACAACGCGTGTCCCATAAACGCAGGATTTAATACAAAATCAATAGAAACTGTATAAATCCGCAGTGCATATTTTTTTTCCTCTATTTATCTGCAATATGCACTAATTCGTTGTCGGGTATAAACTTTGGAATATCGTTATATGCGGTGGCTGTAAACATTATTGGATTCATAAAGTGAACCACATAAAATATGGCAATTACTCATGTTTCACATTATTTTCTTAATCTAATTTGAATTTAATGATCATTAAACCATGTCTGCCTCATTAAATTTAAGTATAAAAATGAAAAATATTCTACATAAATTATATAACTTTAGTTATTATTATAAACATAACTTATAGGATATACATAGCAATCATAAGAGATCATTAGCTACTTATGTAGTGTAAAGTAACCGTTCTATGTATATTGTATCTTATGTTTCAGACCAATGATTAGATTTATAGCAACCATATTCGTTTAGTAATTGGTATATTCATAACAAGCGCAGCTGTCCTTATAAACTGTAAGAAGTCCATTTAAATAGAAGGCGTCTGCAGCAACTGTAGTCCATAACAATATAAGCATCCTTAACACCTGCCACTTGATCAATAGCAACCATAACGTATCCTTAGCAACTGGGATGTCATTCGTAACAATCAGAAGCATCCTTAACACATACCTTGCAGTCAATAACAACTAACATTCGTCCTTGTTAACCCAGAGGACAAATTCTGGTTGTTACACACGAATATTAAAAATTGCCATGGAGCTATGTTGTCCATAACAACTAAAAAGCTGTCTAAAAGCTATAATTAGTAGATACCAATCTACTTATAATATCTTTAAATAAAGAATATTTTCTATAATTATAACAAGATTTGAAAAGTTGTTTTAGAGACAAAAATAAATGTCTCAATTTTTAATATTTTTTCAAAGTAATTAAACATAATTTAACCATTTCTATTTGAAATTAAAGAATTTACTAAGAATTTTTTAAAGTTTTTAAATTTAAAGAAAAATCAATAGTTCATTTTTCTTGCTGAAGAAATTTCAGTTGGTAACATTTATAACTGCGGTAAGTTCGAATCATTGGGAGCGCACAGACGAGTAATTGAATAATTGAATTATCAATTACAATCCAATTGAAATCGCGATTTCAAAAAGGAAGTTATCATCTTATTAATTCAATCATTGTGCAAATATTAGTGGTTGGAAAAGCATATACATTGAGATCAGGCCATTATTCCACGTTGGCAACACACCGTTAGTGACACTGACAACTGGTGAGTTAACCAAAAAATATTTATTTAAATTTTGCATTAACGAAGATCGGATTGTTCATTTTGAAATTGAATAAGACTTGACGAATTTCGTTCGAAATGAATTCCAAACCGAACGACAATAAAAACCCGTGGAACAAGAACACCAAATCGAAAATACCCACTGCAAAGAACAGCAAGAATCCTGAGGAAAAATTCAAGGAGGCCCAGCAGAAGCTCCAAGCAGCTGTACAGAAATTTACCAAAGACTATGAATCCTCTGAAGAGGAAGAAGAGTTGGAAGTAGATAATGTTATAGGTATTTTTTTTATTTACTATTTTTTTTATTGATGAATTGAATAGAATGTGTACTGACTGATTCATGTAATTTTAGGAACAATTTTGAAAGACTATGATACAAGTGGTGCTGGAAAGGAATTGTTAAGAACCCGAGGATTCTTAGAGGAAGCATTTCAATCTGGAGCTTGCACCTGCCTAATATGTATTTCATCTATTAAAAGAACTGATGCAGTAAGTATAGTAATTTACTTTATATATACTGAGTTTTATTATCATTTGTCTTTTTAGATATGGAGTTGTGAAAAATGCTATTGTTTCTTCCATTTGATGTGTATACAGAGATGGTCGAAGGATACCATTTTCCAACAGAAACAGGCACTGGAAGCGCCAGTCCAAGTGCGTCGCATTAAATTAAAATGGGGTTGTCCTAAGTGCAGACACGAGTACGAGCCGGAACAAATTCCAAACGAGTATCGGTGTTTCTGCAAAAAGATCACAAATCCTAAGTTCCAATCACTGATAGTGCCCCATTCTTGCGGAGAAACATGTCGCAAGGATTTGCAGCCGTATTGCGGCCACGGCTGCTTATTGCTATGCCATCCCGGACCATGTCCACCCTGCCCGGTGATGGTTAAAGTCACCTGCTTCTGCGGACACTCCGAACCGAAAATCCAAAGATGCAGCAACAAAGAATGGAGCTGCTCGGCACCTTGCAACAAACTCTTGAGCTGCGGCAAGCACAAATGCTCTCAACCTTGCCATGCGGGTGATTGCTTACCCTGCTCCAAGAAAAGCGTGCAGAAATGCGTCTGCGGAAGTACTCAGAAACTCAGGGATTGCTCCACGCCAGTCTGGCAGTGCGAAAAGGTTTAGTTATTATTAACTAATTTATCTCAAACAAAACTCAAACCTTTGTATTTGTTCAGGTGTGTAGGAAAGATTTGAAGTGCGGTTTCCACAAATGCGACGAGATATGTCACACGGGCGTTTGTGGTTCCTGTAAACTTTCCGAAATTAGAACTTGCCCTTGTGGTAAGTCCAATTACCAGCTACCTTGTACCGAGGATACTCCGACCTGCGGCGACACTTGCGGTAAAGTTCTGGAGTGCGGTATGCACATTTGTAATAGAAGGTGTCATAAAGATAAATGCAGTCAGGTAAATATTATTCAACTCCCGGCATGAATAGATCTCCTTTATTGCATTTACTCTGCATTATATAATATAACTTTAATGGTTGCAGTGCCTTGAAACAGTTACTAAATCATGTAGATGTGGTTTGCATAAAAAACAGATCCAATGCTGTAAGCCTTATGTATGTGAGACGAAATGCAAGCAGATGAGAGACTGCAACAAACATCCATGTAATAAAAAGGTAAGTTAAAAACAATTATAATCAAGTATTTACATTTGTTTTGGATAACATATTTTTACCTCTTCTAAAAAAAATAATTAGAAATATATAGAAATTAATACTTGATGAATATACTACAAATATTTAAATTTGTTTGTCTAGTGCTGCGATGGTAAAGATTGTCCATCGTGCGAGAAACCTTGTGGAAAAACTTTGACGTGTCGAAAACACGCGTGTGCTTCGGTTTGCCATCGAGGTCCTTGCTATCCATGTAACTTAACAGAAACTCTGAAATGCTTCTGTGGAGCCACATCGATTGTAGTACCATGCGGTAAGAAGAAATCCACGAAGCCACCAAAATGTTCGAAGATATGTAAGAAATCTACAGAATGTCATCACAAGAAGAGCGTGCCGCATAAGTGCCATTTCGGCGACTGCCCACAATGCAAGCAAATATGCGACAAACCAAGAGATACTTGCTCCCACAAGTGTCCGTCCACTTGTCACTCCTCGGTTTTGATGAAATTCGAAGCTCCAAGAGCGTCAACCCCTTGGGAGCAGGAAGCTCCAACTATAACTAAATGTGCGTTACCATGTCCCAATTGTATCGTCCCAGTTCCTGTTACGTGTTTGGGCGGCCACGAAACCGCGGATTATGCGTGTTACTTAGCAATACCTTCGAGTTGCTACAAACCTTGCAAAAGAGAGTTACCATGTGGAAACCACACTTGCTCAAAAGATTGTCATACAGTTGAAGAAGCCCCAAATAGTTTAAAGGTAATAAATCTAACGCAACGTGTTATTATACTGATCGATGGTTATTTATGTTTAGGCTGGTAAGAATTGCGAAGAATGCAACAGTGGCTGTACCAAGCCAAGACCAGAAGGTTGCACTCACCAGTGCCCCAAACCTTGCCACCCAGGCTCATGTCCACCATGTCAGTTGATGGTCAGGATCAAATGTCATTGTAACTTGAGCCAACCGTACGTTTCCTGTAAAGACTGGACAACGGGAGATCGTGATGCTCTGCAGAGTTGCGGAAATCGATGCCCTAGCAAGGTTTGTATATAACAAAAAGAACAACTTTTATAAATATTCTGAAAAAATATTTGATGATTAAAAACTGTATTGTATTGAGAAACGTCTGCTTTTATAGTGTTTATATGTTTATTTTAGTATCCGTGCGGACATCAATGCAGAGCAAACTGTCACCAAGGCGATTGTCCGAACGCCGAAGATTGTAAAAAGAAAATGAAAATATCCTGTCCGTGCAAAAGGATCAAAAAGGATATCACCTGCGACGTTCAGAGAAAGACCGGAGGTGTCTTGGAATGCGACGAAGTTTGCGCCGAGAAAAAGCTGGAGGAGAGAAAGCTGAAAGATTTGGAGAACGAGAAGCGGAAGAAAGAGGAGGAGATAAAGAACCAAAAGGAGTTGGAGAAGTACGAGAAAATGATGCAAGGCAAGAAGAAATCCAAAGAGCGAAAAAACGTCGAAATCGTCGAGCAGAAAAGTTTCATGCAAAAGTATTGGATGTTTATTGTCGGTTTTGTTGTTGTGGCGATCGGTATTTATCTCAGTCTTTCGTGATACGTGCAGTGAGAAGGTCAGCTTCTCTTGTTAGACTAAAAATAATGGAGCAAGATTTATATGTGTTCGGTGGTAACTTTTCGGAAATACGTTATAAAAATGTAATACACGTTTATACTATTTTGTATTTGTTTTTTTTTGTTGTAATATTGATCTGTTTTTCTTTTTGGACTGGACCTGTAGTTTCTAGATTGGTTTGTACGAATTTCTGACATTAAATTACATTGGAAACATGAACCCAGCTATTTAATTGCCCAATTCGCGTTTATCTTTGGAGCTGCTGTTACAGCAATTCACGGTTAGTGAATCCAATTTTTTATTTATATTTTAATTTGCAAAGAGAGTTTATCCGCTTTCAGCATTTTCCAAATGCAACAGATTTAGGTATTTGTGGATAGGAACTCTTCTACATGGACTTGTTGTGGAATCAATGTCTTATTTAGTACCAGACATCGATAATTTCTGGCATTCGCAGACGCATGTTGTGTTTTTTGGACACAGACTTCCATTGCACATAATATTTTTGTGTAAGTAAAATTAGCATGCGATAAAAAGTTCATAGAGTGCTTTGAAATTCGATAACCGTAAAATCATTTAGTATCACGTATAAATATAAATTTAGACTCACAGAATTAATAACAGCACATTCCATTAATCTTGTCGCATAAAATCACTCAAACACTACAAAAGTTCGAAAATATTCTGATTTGAGCTGAAATCACGAAAATCAAATGTTTCATTCATAATCGCGACGTTTATAAACTTTCAAAATAGTAACTATGGAAAATAAACAAAAAAAAATCTTGCATTCTTTTGTTTAAAAAGTAATAGAGAACTTTGATCTTATGAATATTATCAATGATATTATGAAATACATGAATTATTTGCATCAAGTAATATTTTTACCATTAAAAAATAGATTTAAATTATTCGTTATAATATTTATGTTTTCGTCACAATCCCAATACAAATTAGTTATTGTTGTAAGAATATATATTTGTAATTGATGCTTTACTTGATTATCCTGAAATCCTTTTTGCAGATCCTTGCTTCATATATCAAGCATCTGTAGCTGTAGCCAAACTGAAACTACCCAGATGGGCTGAGCCTTTCGCCGTGGGTCTTTGCACAGTCCTAATAGACATACCATACGACATAATAAGCGTCAACTTCTTGCATTGGACTTGGCATGATACGGATCCCAATATTGAAGATCGCATGTTCTGGGTACCATGGAACTCCTACTACTTCCACGCCTGTTTCGCCGCCAGCTTCACATTCTGGTTCCATTTCATCCCCAAAACGATCTGCAAAAGCAAAGATAAATGGGATTGCCATAGGTAAATCAAATAACATTTTAAACTTGACGGTATCACATCAATTATTTTACAGTTTTTCAAACGAAATGTTAAGCACAGCCTTTGCCAGTGTATTAGGAACTCCCTTCGGCATTCTTCTGTTCATACCTATATATCATCCCTTGCACGATATTTACGGAGTGCACAGCTCCATCACTTTCTCCATAATCCTTTTGATTTTCCTTGTGGTAATTGGGTTTGGTTGTAAGAATATCGCGAGGAATGTTACGAATTTCGCTCGAGTAGATTATTTACTTGTAACACATCTAGTGTTGCATTACCTAACATTCTTAGTTATACCAATATTTTTCGATCCCAAGAAGGAAATTTCTGTAGGTCTTAAAGAACCTATTGGTCCGTGCGATGAAGTGGTCTCTGTTAAAACAGCGTTTGGAATGATGTTACAGAAGAAGAAATATTTGTGCGCCAGGGATTTCCATGAAGGGTACTTCAATTGGGATTGTTTGAGTGAAGTCCCGGCGGATGGTTCAATTTGGTATACCGCATGTGGAGCGGCGTTGAAAAATCCATTAGGAATGATGTTTACAGTTGTCCTGATGGAAATTCTAGCACTGATCGTCTTTAGGTTTTTGCATTTTCATTCTGTCGAGCAAAGATCTAGCAATTCACAAAAGAACAAACGTCGATAATAATATGAAACTGCTTTCATCTAAAACAGAAAATGTTAAAGAATTATCTGTATTTGCTTATTGGAAGACTTACTTTTTGCTACTGCAAATTATGTAATGCTTGATATTTCTAGATTTTGTTCTAAATTCCAACAAACATAATTGATTTGTCTTCGTTTTCTGCTTATAATTCATAAGGAAAATCGTCCTCAAGAAAAATATTAACAAAAGCTTGACAATACTTCTATAAAAACAAAGAAAATCACTTTAATCTTAATAAATAATGACTGAAATGCCAAAAAAAAATCAATACAAAACCATTACTAATTTCTTTAAAGAAATGAAGATAATTAAACAATGATAATTAATAAATTAAAGATTGAGCTTAAATAAGGAAGTAAATATTATACAGAATCCTTCAGGACAGTATTTTGCAACCTATAGTAACTTAAATGTTGATAGTCTTAAGTTTAGAAAGTTGTAAAATGTAATGAGTGAATAAAAGGATTTGGAGAAAAGCAGAGTTTCTAATGTAAAAATATTTATTGCAAAATAAGTCTACTTAAACATATTTAAAAAAGAGAATTTAAAAGTTAATTCTTTCATATTATCTTTTGTAATTCTTTCATAATGCATTTTTGTTTTCCATTACTTGTTTAATGTTTTTAAATAAAAAATAAATGTTACGGGGAGGTATTCCGTTTTCCATTTCAACGTTGACGTTCAATATGTATTATTTATGATTATTATTATTAGAGTTTCTTCTTCAGTTTTAGTTATATAGCAAGATAATCCTTATAATACAGATTTTTATACTTAAATTTACACATATGAGATTAACAATATTTAATATAAATTTTGTGTGTGTGTATTTTGTTTGTTGTTGTTGTTGTTATATTTTTGTTTGTGTGTTTATATTGTTTTATAATGCGTGGAGATGGAAACTGGGCGTCGTGTCTGTCGTGGCACGTTTTGTTTAGTAGTAGTAGTAGTGTCCTCCGGTTTGCTGTTGGTAGACTTCGATTGTATCGCCCTCCTCCATCTCTAAGGTAGTTGGTGTGTCAGTTTCGTTTATCGGATTGCCGTCGAATCGAAACCTCACAACGTTTAAACTCAAACCCTAAACGCAAAAAAAAAATTAGTAATTAAGGTAAATTGAAAATTATGTTTTATAATTGTTTAATTATAATACTTACAGCCCGGTCGCAGTACGCGCTCATTAGTTTCCGAAGAGGCGTGTGCTTTTTAATTTTAAACTGTACAACGGCATTGTCTTGACCTAATACTTTCAAATTGATGTGCTCAGAATCGGAGGCCTGAAAATACGAAAAAAAAAGAAGATCAGAAACAATACTCGCAAAATCTATAAAAAGTTAGTGGTTGTTAATTACAGAGTCTCTTGACTTGGTCATGATTCATTCATTTAGGATAAGCGAGAATTTGTTATCACTGTAACTTGCAGAAAGTATTCGTGATTTTGCTGTCATCTAGACATTTAAACAATCTGACTAGATTATTTGCATGAATTAAAAACTGCATTAAAGTAATCAATCATCAATTAATACTTTGTCTTGATCCTTCAATATTTACAAAACATTATTAATATTTGTTTAAATCTAATTTAAAGTGTGATAACTATAAATTGAGATTGTAAAGATTAATTGACAAAATTTATAAATTATGTAACAATGGTCATTACAATTCACAGCATGTAAAAATAATCATCAATGTCACAGAACAAATTTAAGTGCTTAAATGGAAATTATAAGCAATTTTAATGATGTACTGCATAATAAATTATGAATTGAAATTTGATAACTATCTGATGAATGATTACAATAAACTTTGACTTATCCAATGTGTTGAGAATGGTGCGATTAAATAAATAATTAAAAAGAAAATGTAAATGAAAACCAGAAGGGTTATCTTTGTTTACATTTCTTTTCATTAAACAATGTCGGAAGCAATTGCTTATTGTTTATTTTCTACTACCATTTGGCATTGTTTGAGCACGATTACTAATCCCCTCAACTCAATTGAGTTTTCCATCCTGATTTGGCATTTTTCAAATAAGAAACAATGGGTTGGTCTTATCACAAGAAAAATTGATATGATGGTGGGCAAAGCTTTGGTGGTGGTTCAAGGAGAGGGGGGGCCATTCCAGCAAGTGTTTATCCATGCAAATGAAGCTCTGATCCAATGAGTGGTTGAACCCAAATTGGGATAAACATCAAGATGTTGATGATGTGATAGAGGATAGAGATAAACAGGAAGGGCGAAGGTGTACAGAGATGAAGAAACAACACACAAAAAAAAAAACGTTGCTGGGCGCACGCTAATTTGGGTTTCTCTTTTTTTTTCCACTCTTGGTATACACACTTACACACACACACGCACATACACACATCGAATCCGAGTGTTTTTCTTGTTTGTTTGTTTCTTGTTAGACTGTAGCAAGCAATGAAATTAACGGATATTTACCTTCTTGTCGTCGCTCATTGTAACGAAGATTGGTTTTTTGCGAACTGATGAATCTGCAAAGGGGATTTCTGATGAATGCAATGCCTCGCCTGCTGCTTACGCCAACTCCAACCACAAAATATCAATAACGAACGAAACCGGCTTGATGCTACAACGAAGCTCTGGTGGCAAGAACAGAAACCAGAAAATCAATACGATACGCTGCCAACCTAATCCAAAACCAATTAGTTTCATACCATTCCTATCCTTGTATACCATACATTTATCCATTAATAACCACCAATTCAAATAAAAATAAATAATTTATCAATTTACTTTAATAACGTAACAAAATAATCATTATAAAGAATATTACTTTTAAAAATATTTAATCACTAAAGACCTACCAACATAAATCATAACTATTTAGTATGCGGTTGGTAATAATTGTTGATGTTAATGTTCTTAGTATTGTTCGCATGTCATTTTAAGTATTTTAAGGTTGTACTTTGTTGTGTGCTGTTCTAAGTTCATAAAAAGTACGTATTTTTTTCCAATTGTCGTTAATATTCATTGTAACATTTCTTTAATTTTAGCATGATCATCCCGGTGAGGTGTTTCACCTGCGGAAAAGTTATTGGCAACAAATGGGAGGCTTACTTGGGACTTCTCCAAGCAGAGTACACTGAAGGTGATGCTTTGGATGCCCTCGGACTGAAGAGGTACTGCTGCAGGAGAATGTTACTGGGACATGTGGATCTCATCGAAAAATTACTCAATTATGCTCCTCTAGAGAAATAATGTTACCAATACTATTATCTTGTTTTTTGTAATAAATGTGATTTTAAGATTTTGTATAAATATAAGAAATATAATAAAAAATGTTATAGAATGTAATACAGTTTGTATAGGTATTTTTCATTTTGATTGCTCTTCTACACCAGATCTTCAGGTTCTCTTGAACTGGTATTGAGAGTGAGCTGCTTGTAGCCTTTTACTTTAGAAATTCTACCAATTTGGTTTGAAATGCTTTCATTCTTGTTTCCTCTTTTACTTCATTTGGTAATCTGTTATATACCATTAATCCCCATTAATTATATAAAATGTCTATAGGAAAAAACTAAACTTAAGTTAATAGTAAAAAGTAATTTATAATTATCTAAAAGAATAGATTTCACTATGTTTTACTAAACTATTGAGCATTTGCTGAGCTAATGATCATTAGGATAAAGTTCAAATGATTTAAATAAAAAGTATTAATTATCAATTATACGATAAATTGGTAATAAAACAATGAATTTTTTTAAATCAACAAAATTTTGCGCAAAAAATAGGTAGACTTGGATCAGGCATTTGCATTTACAATTTGCGTGGCTAACGTCAGGTTGTATCCAAGGTGCGAAGTCTCAAATACTACAAATAGTAAGTAAAACCCTATGCCTTATTTGCACCAGAGTTTCTAACCATCCTGACAATTTAATTGATGGCTGATGATCAACTGCAATTAACTTACTAATTTGATCAACATAACCTCCAATCGACTAATTAACTAGATGGAAAACCCGGTGTTTTAATAACCTTTTTCGCAATGCAAACAATTAAATAACACAAACTTATTACGCAATGAAAATCTGCTATTTCATGTTTATTGTTGTGATGTAAATAAATAAGGCTGCATAAGGTTAATGAGATCAAAAGCTGCGTTAGGTCATTGATTAACTATTAATTATAAATAAACTATTGTAATTTAAGTCATTCATGACTCATTAGAAGTGGTATGCAACCATTTAGTAAACAAAGGGGATTCCCACTATTTCTTAGTATGTAATTATTTATTACAGAAATCTTCAATTTATATAAAATATTTACTAATTTGTTCATACAAATTTCAAAGTTTAGATGTAACTTGACAAATACAAATTAAAGTAAATCTTAGTATTTGTTTACTGTAGAGTAATTCTATTTGTTTCTTTTGCTTTTATATTATTAATAATAGTTAATGACTAAAAGCGTTTTTAAATGTTTTGTAGATTAAGAAGAGAAATACTGATGCGTCTGTTTCTATCGCAAATAAAGAAAGCAGTAGTAAATTCCGTCAACGCACGAAAATACGTCGCGTATAGCAGGTATTTAATAACTTCTAATCTAGTCAATTCCAATTACATAACATTGCACTCATATAACCGATGACTAATTATTGCGTCGTAGTCGCATGTCCTTATCTCATTCAGACTATAACATAGTATAAATAAAATGCGACGATTGTGAATCGAGTTAATAGTAAACAAACATTCGCAGCACTATGGCAGACCAAATGCAAAATCCTCAAGACCCAAAGAAGGCCTCCTCCATCTTCGAGTTCAACGCGAAGAACATCAAAGGCGAAGTTGTGCCTATTTCCGACTACAAGGGTCACGTGTGCATCATCGTAAACGTCGCCTCGCAATGCGGATTGGCAGGAAACAATTACAAGGATCTGGTGGATCTGCACGAACAGTACGGCGAGAGTAAGGGCCTGAAGATTCTCGCCTTCCCGTGCAATCAATTTGGAAACCAGGAAGCGGGAAACACCGACGAGATCTGCACGTTCGTGTCGAAGCGTAACGTCAAGTTCGATATGTTCGAGAAGGTGGACGTGAACGGTAGCAACGCTCATCCCCTGTGGACGTATCTGCAGAACACCGTCAAGGGTACGATCTCCAATAAAATTAAGTGGAACTTCACCAAGTTCATCGTCGACAAGGAGGGAAAACCGGTGGAGAGGCACAGTCCGACCACCAACCCCAAAGATCTTGTCAAACATCTTGAAAAGTACTTCTAAATTTAATTATATTTCTTCAAACGGGTTTAATTTATTGTAGCATTTAATAAAAATTAACTAGTTTCATGTACATGATGATGATTCACCTTTTTTACCTATGTGTATTCCCAAAAATCAAACGATCATTAATTTATTACTAATTACGAATGACAAGCATAAAATAATATCTCCTGACAATTACTGAAAACATTAATCAAAGTTTAATGAATCACGATAAATCAATAATTATTATGTTTACATGTTGTTTTGTACAAATCTCAAACTACTTTTTTTTTACCTATTATTCTTTTGTAATTACAAAATATCCATCCAGGTTGCATCATTGTTTTAAACGGACTTTGAACTTTGGAACGAGCATATAATTAGCGTAGACTTAATTAGACGTTAAATGAATCATTAGTTTATAAATATATCACAAATCTATGTTAATTAGATTCTATTTTTAACGTTTGTCCAATTTGTAACACAACATTTTTTCTGATATAATAATATTTACCATGTTAATCTTCTATTAATAAATATTCTATATTTTTTAATAATTTTGCAAAATTTTAGTCCAATAACTTCCAGTTATGTAATTTCCAATACTTCTATCAGAATTTAACATGTAGGTCATATACAGTATTTAGTTTTTTTTTAAGATTAGAAAAGGTTTGGATATCTAATAGATATTAAATAAATAAACATAATTTTGTATATGTCATTTAATTGAGCAAATCGATAAAGTATACATAAACAATCAAGTAAAACTACACGGCCTAACTAAACAAAAATTCATTAAATCACTTAAAGTACAGTAATGATATGTAAAAAAATGTATTTGATTTGATTATAATAGCTATATTAATTCATTTTCTTTTCTTTTTGTACTTTATTTAATTGCCGTATCATGATTTACACTAATATCAATTTAAAATCAAAATTTATTGCACTGTAAATTTAAACTAAATAATATTTACCTAAACGATGATCTCAATATTAGTGTAAATAATATAGTATGCGTAGAAGCCTCTTAAATATACATATTTCTTTTATTCTTAAGATCAACTTGATTGGTGCATTAAGGTATCACGATTATTATATAAATTTTTTCCTTATCTTCCATAAAATTTTAGAAATTACAGACAATCTTTAACCAATAACAATTTATAATTATTTGATACGACTTTTAACTTAACAATTTCTTTAAACTTTCTTCAAATTTTTAAATAACGATTGTCTATAATCATTGATAAATGATAACATGCAGGGGCGGGCGAATGCCTTTCATTTAATGTATTTGTAATTCTATTATAGTACCACTTTACAATCGCAAATACTCATAATATTAAGAATTTTTAGGACAGAAAAACTATCAAATTATTAGGGCCAAAATGATCAAATATTTAAACTATTACTGAAACTAAAAAACATGACTGTTTGTTGTTAAAAACCTGAAATGTTAAGTTTTAAAGACAGTCGCCCAGCCTTGTATACAGCATTTGATTAAAGTTTAGATTTAGAGTCGTTTATTTTAATAGTTTTTCAAAGTTATTATAACGAGTCTAATTCTAACTTGAGGGTCAAATGCTGTATAATAAATAACTCTATATATATATTTTTTTTATATAATATACAGTGTACACTTAATTTATATATGTATATACTTATATAATTGGAGTTATAAAGAGGTGAGGTGATGTAGTAATGTTGTATATGCATTTACGCCCCGATCATCTTCTTGACGGAGTATCCGGGGATGGCGTAGATGAAGAGCAGAATGATGATTGCCAATGCGAGTATGATGAAGACCTTCAGGATCTTCCATTTGTAGTTGTGCCAAATAATGTAACGGATAGATTTCAGAGGATTCAAGAACCACATGAACGATGCGTCTGGTCGGCTAGATTTATTATAAATTTATTAGTACATGAAATAATATTTCATTCAAAAACTGATAAAAATCTTTACTAATTTCTTACTTTGGTTTTTCCAATGCGTCTGGTTCGCTTCTGCCAAGTCCGACGGGATTCTTCTCGGCTTCCTCTTTTGATAGCAGATGTATTTCGGCTTCGACTTTTCCTGTGAGCTCCAGGTCTTCGTTGTCTTTTTTCACAAAGAAAGGCCACCAGCCTTTGACGCGTTTCTGCTTGAAGATGTTGACCATCGGAACGGATCCATCTGATTTGAGCATTTCCAGCGTGCAGAGTTTGGAGGATTTAGCGCCTCGAGGGAAACGGTTCAAGTCTAGAGTGATTGCACCCAAGAAATCATCTGCAGAGAAATGATCGGCGTCCCAGACTTGCAGTTCTAGTCGAGCCGGAATCTTGCATTCGGTTTCGTCCCAGGAGAAGAGAGATTCCTTGCGAGAAATGACAATCTTCTGCTCAGCAACCATGTAATCGAACGGATAGACGAAGCGCCAATTGAAATTGCCTTCTCCTGTTAACGATCTGTAATGGATATCGGTGCATTGGCAGTCTTCAGGCCCTTTCAGCCACCTGTAATTAAAGTCAAGTTTTAATTGAGTTATAGAGAAAAGCGTGTCTCGTGTCTACCCTTTCACGTAGATGTCTGACATCTTTTCGCCGGTGAAAAAGGCGTCGTCCTCCAAGACGACGTCGTCGGTGTTCCAGATGATAATCCTCAGCTCGTAGCTCTTAGGTTTACGAGGGGAGATATCAAGAGGAGGTCCCGGTAACGGCATATCCATTGGGAACATGTCCACCCACATCTCAAGCTTTCCCTGCTCGATCCCCGGTTTATCGGGATTATAGAGCGGTCTCGTCTCTATGTGCTCAGGGATGAGCTCGCATCCGATGCGAGGGAATTCCTGCCATCGGTGCAGCACGCTCAGAGCCATATGCTCCTCGACATCCTTCGTCGTATAGAAATCGTAATCGTCCATCTGCAAATGGAACGAATGTCTTCCAATTTTCACCTCGCCGTCCGAGTAAATAGGAACGTCGACTTTCCCATCCTTGCACAGCTTCGCCAATATTTGCGTCGGCTTCGTCGCGTCCCTCCAACTGTTGTAACCGCTCCTGCAAAAAACAGTTTATTTATTATATTTACCCTACAAACCCAATAGTTCATCCTCACTCTTCATATTTGAGAGGTAACCCGCATATCGCCCTATGTCTACTGTAAAATCTATTCTCCAAATCGATTTTCGTTTCGCCGACCATATCATCAGATCCGACAAGGTCCCAATCGTAAATCTGCACGGTCAACAGAGAGTCCTGAGGGAACGTGGCCTCGATCTCGAAACACCTTGAACGTATAATCATATCATTCTTTAGATGCACGCTAAAAAAAATTCATTGTCCTTGCTTACTTTCCGAAGACTGGATTCAATTGCTTCGAAATGTAATTGTCCTTGTCGCTGATGCGTTTCGAGCCTAATTGCAGGACGACGTACGGATCTGCTTTTCCATTCAGGTCCATCGGATGAAGGTCGTTCGCTTTTACCACGTAAACCCTTACGAGAACGCGGATCGGATCGTTCGAGGGTAAACCCTGGAAGAATCCGTATTGGGGATCGAAACCCATTATGGTGTGGTCCTCGATATCCCGGGGCAAGGGCCATTTGTACACCTTTATCGCACCCTAACAGAGACGTAATTGCATTGCTTCAATAAATATTTACAATGAACGAACAGAGAAAACCAGCGTTTTTCAACATTTTTAAACCAACGACACCGGCGAAAATATGAAGAAAATTTTGTAAATAATTTAATGCCATAGAATTACATTTTTCGCGAAAAATTTTACCTAAATCGTAACTAAAAAAAATCTTTCGTTGATTATTTAATGTAAGCTTTCAATTTTTAAATATCATGAAATTATATTTCTAAAGTCTACATTTACAATAAAAATGTGCACAAGCAAACATTGATTGTTGATGTTCAATGACGATTATCTGCATTTCTGAATAATTGTAGACGCTATCATAAATTGCCTTGTTTTATGAATAAAGTAATGAAATAAATACTATGATTCTTACCTTAAACAGCCCTACTATTCTGCTATCATCCTCGGTTTCATCTCCAGTTTTCTTGCCTCTGTATAGTTCGAACGATTGCAGCCACTCTTTGAACCCGTTAAACTCGGAACGCTGCTCCAATTCCGTTGGAAATATCTGCGGCAAAAGTAAGATGAGACGTGACGTAAAACATCAAAAGAGATCAACGAACCTTGCAGAGCGCGGTTTTCTTCCTCAATCTCCGTCTCATACTTTTCGGGCTGATCCTCGAAACAAACTTAGAGGCGTTCGCCGTAGTCTTGAAGCCAAACCGTCGCTTCGGCTGTTCGTTAGGACTGACGCTATTCGAAACGATGCCTCCTTGCACCTGCAGATTGGCCTCATCGCTGGAATACACTTCTTGAATAATATGCTTTTTCGCCTCTTTGCTTTCCGTGATCATTTCCTCGACTGATTCGAAATATTTGGTCCACCAGTCTTTGCTTCCCTCCTCGTCGTCCAGTTCTTCCTCCAAGCTGAATTTTCGTTTCCGTTGATCCATTCTGGGCCGCTTCATATCCTGAGTGCCGTAATTCACTGCGATTGTGATGTCTTTTGGTAGGAGTGGGCTTTTCTCGCGAAAATCCGGCTGCCCGAAATGGTTTGGTATTGTTTGCAATTCGCCTCCGTCCAGCGGCTTCAAGTTCATGGATCTCTTTCGCTCCTCCGCTTCTTTTTTAGTTAAAGGCGTGTAGATGTATTTGTGGATGGAGTTGATCATGTGGGTGCCTACCAGGGTGTATCTGCCGAAGCTCCTGCAATCCACAGCTCTGATCGTTAATGGTGGCCTATAAAGTTCTTGCTCCGGTAAATCCAGCTCCAAGAATTTAACAGGAGTACTGAAATTTGGATTCTTCCTTGCGTTCTGTATGATTGATGAGTACAAGATATGCCCGGCGCATTCTATATCCACCCTTGGTTTATCCACCGTTAACAGATGGATTCGTTTCAGGTCCCTCAATCCCCAAAAGAGAATCTCTATTCTGTAACGAGACAATGTAGGCCTGATTCCTCGAGGGACTGGAAGGATGGGTCCAATCTCTTTCACGTCCGTCTCTTTGTAAACAGGTCGTTCCTTCGCAGGCGGTAGCTCAGGCAAAGTTCCTTCACCTGAAGGAAGTTCGAGTAATTCGAACGCGGCCAGAAGCTCTCCAGCGTGATCAGTCCCTCTAGTTATATCGAACCATTCCAATTTCGTTGGAAACTTAGGTTTCGTGTACGGCTCTTCCAAGAGTTTAACTTGCGGTTTCGCTATAGCTCTGCCGATGAACTCCGATTTACCTACTTTATCCTGATCGAAGATTTCGATAATCACCGTTGGCGGATCGTTTATGATTTCCGCTCCTGAACCGTACACCAAGATCTCCTCGAAGATGAGCAGCTCATCCCAGGTGGGGCTCAATGTTTCGTCTATTACCTGCGTGATTTTGCTGAACTCTCCGGCGATGACACGAGCAAACGGATCCGAAAGCCCCGAGGCGTCGGAACCGATCAAAGAGCGAGCTTGATAGATGTTTGCACGTAATTGGAATATCTGCGAAACCAATTTGTTTAGAGATTACGAACATCATTCAAACAGTTCACGATTTGAAGTGGTTGTATAATTGAAATCTTCAGTGCGATAATATGATGCATATGTAATTTGCACTCATGTATAAATTGAAGCGATTTGTTAGCAAACGATTACATAATTACATATGTTTACTTCAAAATGGAATTACTATAGAATCTTGTTTGAATAGTAGAAGGAATTAGTGTTGAAAATTACGTGTTTTTCGGTGTAGTGGATGACGCAGGGCGGAAGCGCTCGAGGCCTCTCCGCATTTCGAATCTCCTGAGAAATTTCGTAGCCCTTCGGAATTCCATTAACGAAATACTTCTTGTGTTTCAGCATTCCCATCCACAGGTAAATCTCGAGTTTGGCTTGGATGGCCCAGCCGCTCGGACCTTGGCCTTTCTTCCCCGGCAACTGCACCCAAAAAGTCAATTAGAACTACTTGATAATCTTGAGATTTACAACATTACTCTCAAGAACATGGTCTGCACTTTTCCGCAATCCCTGCCGCTCTCCTCGTCCACGATGGAATAAATGATGTCCCTCGCCGGTATCCTCTGATAGGCCTGTCTCTTGCCTCCGCTTATAATCCACAGGAAGACGTCCGGGAGTGCGTGCTGGGGCTGAAAATAAAATTCAATTACGTTGCGAAGGCCTCGATAAAATTACAAAACGCCAGCGACGACTCACATCCTCGATCAGAAATTTAATTTTCCCCAAGTAGCTTTGAGCCGTTTTGTAGCGTTCCTTCGACGAGTTCTTCGTCACCAGAGCCCTCAGATTTCGAGCTGAATTGCCAATGTTTTCCTGAAAATTATAATACAAATCTCAACATAATAAAGTAGCATTTTCATTACATTTTAGTAACTTTATCAACTTTCAGAGAATTATAAATCACGTTAAAATTGTAAGAATAAACGTTGCTTCTTCAAAGTATTTGAGAACTTTATTAATCTTCTGAAAATTATAATACGCGGCAATAAACGCTTCATTATCTTTCAGCATCTTTATTAAAGTTCTAGAAATTACAATTCGCAACTAATTGAAGCAAAGTAATTGTATTTTCAGTGTATTTGAGCATCACAAGTACTGCTTTATGAAAATTTGATCACGAAACAAATCACGTCAAAGTATGGAACAATAAGCGGTGCATCTTCCGGCGAACGTCGATCACGTAAATCTTTCAGCCACTTATCATGACGTAAGCGACGGACGAACTTTATCGCCCGCAATAAAGCGTTCCATTATTTATTGTTGCGAGGTTTCAGCTCGGCAAGAACTTTTCACTTTACGACTCTTTTATGCTTCAATTTGTTTTTACTCTGCTGAGACACACACAAATCTTAAGCTTCAAGAAGTAATTGCACAATATCTTTGGAATTATATCAAAGCATTATATAACTTTCATCATGCGAATTCAATTAAAGCTTTTTTGAATTTTCTTAATCTTAATTAATAAAATGCATAAAAAAACACATCCGAAATGGAATTTTCGATCAAAAATTACTGATAGTGAAAGAAGAATCAAATCAAGTTTCGGAAAATAATAATTTGAAAAATAATAGAATAAGGACCTAAGACTTAATAATACAATGACAAATCCTCTACTTATTTCCAATTAAAATTTAACGAAGACTTACGATTTCTCTCTGACAAAGTTTCAAATGCTCCTTGTCCAATTTGGTCTTGCCTGTGCCGGGTCCTGTCGTGGCCCCCTTCGTTATAGTGACATACTTGTTGCATCCGATCGTCAACTCTTCCAACACCTGTTTCAGATGTAGCTCGGTTTCGGGATCCTCGCAATCCAGCATGGAGTGCACCTCGACCAGACCTTCCTCCTTCAAATTAATAGAGTTAAGCTTTATTAATTACGCAAGTTTTAATTTCCCCAAAGCTTAGCTTAATTTCGATTTATGTCTGTTATTATTCATATTCAGTTAGTTTCCAAGAATTTCTTTTTGCTCTTTTTAATTTGGGTTTTCTAGATTATCTTTTAAGTTGAATTATGCAGAAATTACCAATTTATCAGCTATTTTAGAGATGATGTTCGAGTTGTACATGCGTCTCCTGTAATCCGGCCAAACGGAGCGAATGTGCATACAAGGTTTGTTGTCCCAATAAGGGAGAAAATAGTGAAGACGGTCATGGGTCATCGGTTTCGTTGGGGTTGTAGTGCTCTGCCAAGAGCCGCTATCAACTGTTATATTCTCTATAAAATCGAACCAAAATAAAATAAAATTATAAAACCAACATCCCTCAAAAATAAAGCTATTACCCAATTCATCACTGTCATCATCATTGTAAGATTCTTTAGCCGACTGATTGTGTCCATCTATAGCATTCCCAGCATTCCCAATGCTGATCTCAAAGTACACCGGTTTCTCCCCTAACCGTTTATCCATCATCGAAGCATCCAGAATCGAAGAGAACAGAAAGAACTCTTCGTTCTTCCCGTAGGCTGATTCGTTGACGGGAACCGCCGGCTCCAATTCAACGTCCGTCGGTACAAAGTCGATGGTGTCGGTGATCTCGGTGCGAATGGCTATAAGTAAACGTGCTCTGTAGGAGACACCTTCACCTAAACCGGAGTTCAGGGAGGAGAGTTCGTCTATTAAGCTGTAGTCTCTCGTCGAACCGTAGAGATGGACAAAGGCCGGTCCGTAGGTGGGCAGGAATCCTGTAACCGGGTGGATTGCAACGGTACGATCACTCTATGGACGATTACAGGTATACCTGGATCTCTCACCCTTTTCTCCATCGTTCGCTATCTGCTTCAGGTCTATGAAATGTGTTCCTATCACGGTCGGCTTCACCGGATCGTTATCCCTCAGTTGTATCTTAATCCTTTGGCAGAGAGGTGGGAACATCTCGGTGAATACCAGTTGCTCGTTCCACACCGGTGCGTAACTGTGCTTCTTCACGCTCGTTTTACCCTTTAATTAATACTTAAATGTTTGATTTTCCTACTAATTTACACATTATTTATCACATCATTATATACTACATAATATAAATTAAAGATGAAACTATAGAAAAGAAAACTTTACAAAGAATATTCTAACTAAATACACTAAGTCTAATAAGGTTGTAAATATTAAAATTAAAAAAATGGGATAATTAATTAAAGATGTAAATAACTTTAGAAATTTCAAAAAAATTTGTAGACTCATCAAATTATACCTAAAACTACTGAAAAATATAAACTTATTAATAAAGCATTAAATACAAAGGTATTACTGTATAAAATATGTAAATAAAAGTTAAAATTATAAAGAATAAAATGTATGTAGTAAAATTTAATTATCTGGATGTAATTCGTAGTTAAATTTGAAATAATGGAATACGAATCCTCGTCTTTACATTATTGTACATTTCTCGAAACCTAAAGTAAATGCAACAATGATTGAGTAAAATATATGATAAACGTAGTGATTCTAAAAGAATAATCATATTTGTCACGTTTCGTGCAATTTGCTATAAAAATTGAAACAATTTACCATAATGATGATTGAACATGTATATTAGAGAAAAAGCTTTATGTTATTTTCATATATTTATACTTATTTTGAAGGACTTGCATTATTGATAATACATCAATAAATATAATAAGAGTTTCGTATAATTTTCTATGTAATTTGAAGTAATGAAAGGTTTTTAATACAAAAATAAGACGTGAATGTATATATTCTCTTAAAATATGATGAAATTTATAGAACTTACCATTAAACCAGCAAAGGAAACTTGCACGTATGGATCGACAAGATCGTTGACTTCACCTGTAAACGCCTTCTTGACGTTTGCCATAATCGAAGAGTTCATTTTGGGAAGACCATCAGCTCTGTAGATCTTAACGATGAATCGCGCCCTTTGCCTATCGATAGGGACTCCATCCGGTAATAGCAAATTACTAAAAATCAATAGCTTTTACTGGAGCATCCTAATAATCGAGTTTAAACTAAGTACGCTTCAATATCGTCTTCGTCTTTTTCGCTCTTCGGGGGAACTTTGACGCTGTCCCCTTTCCCAATAACGCTAATATCGCATTTGAGGTAACCCTTAGGTCCACCGGCTATATCATCAGGATCCGTCAGCAAAGCCCATTTGTGGTAGAACTGATGATCTAAAGAAGTCATTTCAATTAAAATTCGGATATTGAAAACTTAAGAAAGCAACATCAAGAGAAATATAGTCGAAAAGCTCATGCGAGTGCCTCCTCTTTTATAAGCGGCAAAGTGTGTGTTTTTTTTTTTCTCTCTGGAGAATAATTGCATGCGACAGCCCATGCAGAAAGAGTACAGAGTCAAGACTATCTGGTCCAGTTCGGTGTGGTGCTAGTCATGACGGGAACATCTAAATTGAAACCTATCGAATTGGGGGGATTCAAACATGGAGTGGAGAGTGTGGATGAATATGATGTTTTATGTATTATTGGTAGGTATTCGATCGTACCTGGTTGCGACCAGACAGTGGCCACATCCAACTTAAAGCTCCCCAATAATTTGTTACCCCGCAGAATGTTCCTAGACTGGAGCACCTAGAGTGGCCAGACAAAAGAAAACAACATAGCACGGGAAAAAGGCGACGAAAAGTAAAAAACAATACAAAGAAAGAGAAAGATGGAACAAAAAAAAAATATATAGAAAACCTTTCCAACGATCTGCGTGTATTCAATAATTACAAGTATAAACAAGTCAGCACGATGCATAAGAGGAAGTCAAAGAACTAGTGCAGTTATTATATCGTTACCGGTTAACAGATACAAATATTAGATTCAATATATATAAAAAAATATGCAGTAATAGATTTTTTAAAAAAATAAGAAGTAATTTAGATAAATTTGTTGTTTGTTTCGTGTTTGTGATTAGTTTGTAAGAAGTGTACGAGAATTAAAAAATATATTTTTTAGGATTTTATAGGATTAAAGGGTAATCAATCAATATTTAATAATTTGTCTTTAACAAACAGCCCTGGAAATATGTATTAGTAAATCTAATATGCGTAACTTTTCTCTTGTCAAGTGTACCAATTTGATATTATGAAATATAATATTGGTACATCTGATATAACTTAATTATTTACCACATACATAGTATACATAGTATAGATTCAACGGTGGCAATCGCAAGCCCGACAACCGAAATCCCGTCTATCGAAATCCCGACTGTATCGAAATCCCGAATATATCGAAATCCCGACAATCAAAATCCCAACTATTTTGAAATCCCGACAGTGTCTTTTATTATTATAAATTTCTACAATAACATTTATATGGTAGTCGGGATTTCGATATAGTCGGGATTTTGAGTGTCGGGATTATGGTAGTAGGGATTTTGACATAGTCGGGATTTCAAGCGTCGGAATTTTAATAGACGGTCTTTTGGTTGTCAGACTTGCGATATTGACCCAGATTCAACATTCAAAGGTTTTATCTCAAAGAATATTCCTAATAAATTCCTTAGACTTGTTACTTCAATAGTACCAATTATGACGCAATGTTGGAAAATCTGATATAATTGCTTTTTTACATCATACATAGTGTGGATTCAGCATAAAGTCTAAAAAAATACATCTAAATTCCTTGCCAATAGTACCAACTATTGGATATTATGAAATACGATGACCTAACACAATGTTGGTAAACCTGAGATAGTTGTATTCCTCACATCACGCATAGTGTAAATTCAATATAAAAATCTTTACCAAAAACAAAAAGGAATAGAAACAACCAACTATCGGTTTTTATGGTAACATTACATAACGTTGGTTCACCTTACATAATTATTCACATTACGCATTTAGCACAAAGCCTTACAGTTGTTACTTCAATAGTACCAATTATGACGCAATGTTGGAAAATCTGATATAATTGCTTTTTTTACATCATACATAGTGTGAATTCAGCATAAAGTCTAAAAAAAATACATCTAAATTCCTTGCCAATAGTACCAACTATTGGATATTATGAAATACGATGACATAACGCAATGTTGGTACACGTGAGATAGTTGTATTCCTCACATCACGCATAGTGTAAATTCAACATAAAAATCTTTACCAAAAACAAAAATACGAATAGAACAACCAACTATCAGTTGTTATGGTAACATTACATAACGTTTGTTCACCTTACATAATTATTCACATTACGCATTTAGCATAAAGCCTTTTTACAATACACTTACAAACTCTTTGAAGAAGAAAAAGAAAAACACATTACGCGTCGCAATATTTCTTTGCAACTTTCCTTTATACTTTTCAACTCTTTACACAGTTTCCAGATACACGCCAACTATTTTCCATAATAGTTTCGTAATTTACTCGGCGTAATGGAAATGTCGCGCTTTCAGTCTAAAACTTATGCATTAACCCAACTCATTTCATAACGTTTGTATGGAATTACAGACAAAAATATTTAATCGACGTTTCCAGTATTAATTACAAATATTGTAACGTACTCTAAATTTATTAATTTTGTGTTGGTATTATCATAAGAATATCAAAGTGTGTATGCCATCAACATTTTTTTAAACAAAAACATTTTTTATGAGTGACGCTTTTGACTGCTGCATTTTACGCAACGTCTGGTTTCCTCGACATCATAAAGCTACGGAGCATTAGCATAATGGGAAAGTTAATGCGCATATAAACTAGACTATGTAGTGGCCTTTCTGTTGCGTCGTAAATGAAATGTACTTCGTGATTTGTTCACTTCGATTCATTGCTTCAGCAAATCGATATAATCATGAGCTACGATTTCTTAAGCTACAACTATTTCCTTTCAAGCAGCGACACTGTTTGAACAAAAACAAAAAACACTCCGATTTTGATGATTTCTTAAGCTACATTTGTTATTTATATAATTTCAGTTTAATTATTGCGAAATTTCAATAGGAAAAAGTAAAGTTTAAATAAAATTTTACTTTGCTAATGAAAAAAGTAAAATTAATGAAATTTGCGAATTAAATAACCTAGTTTCTTAAGTTATTTTTTTTATGTTTAACTTTAAATAATTTGCGAGAAGCTCAGCGAGGAAAAGTTATAAAATTTCACTTTACTAATGAAATAAGAAATAAGTTTTTTTTCTGTTGGTATTTATAATTCCTACACTCTAGTGTATTTATGAAGAGTGTGCAATTACAAAGGGCGCTCATAAAGTTAAGAATTTATTTTTTCTCTTTTTAAAAGAAACCGTGCTCTCATTAAAACCATAAACAAAAAAGTCAAATTTACTCACGGATTGAATAGCAATAAAAAAATATGTAAGTTACAAGCAAATCAATAGATGTTTAAAATAATTGAAATGATATTCTGTATGTTATTTTATTAATAATATTGAAATATTTCAGTTAATTGTTTGCTCTAAAATTTAGAATTTTCTATGTATCTTAAGAAATTTTAGTTAAAGTAATGAAGTAAACAAATACTATGACTATTGTGATTCATCTACAATAATCTTTTTACAATTTACAACAATTTTTCGTTTATTAATTTTCGAAAGAAAGTGTATATTTTTTGTCAGAATTTGTATTGATTATTATATAATTTAAGAGTATTTTTGTTGTTTATGAACTTTCAACGGATAAAACTATATTATTAGTATGATTTGTATGTTAATAGACATATTTTTACAAAACTTTAAATGTATATTTTTCATTTTGTAGGAAAACAAAGTTATTATTGTCTTATTCAATTGCAATTAGTCAAATCAAATTTGTGTAATTAATATCGGAACTAAGGATGTAATAATTACAGCAATTTGTTAATAATGCACGAAGAGAAGGGCTTTGATTGATTGCGTTTGAAGGAGCGCGTTTAATTGGTTTTCGGACGAAGAGTCATTATCATTCTGGAATGGAGAGACTTCTGGGTCAAATGAGAAATTGCACATAAATGAGAGGACGGATGGAAACAACAAAAAAAAGGAAAGTATTGTAATCATTGATTTTCGAGCTGAAAATGCAGCGTGTGTCCTTGTGGAGCGAAAAAGTTTGTATTTTTATTGTGCATGCAGACTTCTTCGCTCTAAGGAGTTAAGTGTTAAGAAATGTTTAAGTGTGAATCGTGTTTGTGTTTTAGGCAATGTAAGTACCCGGTGCATCATAGACCGTCTTCACGTCTATCTTGAACGCGCCGACCGTCGTTCCAGAGCGTAAAAGCTTTCGTGAATGCAAAACCTAAAAAAAAAATATAAACCAAAATACACCAGTTTCCTGACTCCAACAGAGAAGCCCTCAAAGCATTTCACACAAAAATACATGTAAAATAACAAAGAAATATATGAAAATGCTTACTTTCATTTTCAATCCATATTCTTAAATACGTAAATGGAAAAGAAACTGAAAATACAAAAGCTTCCACGACTTCAAAGCGAATTTATGAATATCAACAGATATTCTACATATTTAATATTTAAAAGAAATTGATCAATATCAATACTTTATTGACTAATATTGATTGAATTTTGTCTGCTTTTATTACAAGAGTAACTTCAAATTGTTCAAATTAAATAGAAGATTGAAGACTTTTATGTAAATTAAAATTTCAATATTTTTGTCTTTTTCTTAAAGTATTCAAAGTATCTTAGAAGAAAAAAAGCTCTCTCATATATTGCAATAAAAAAAAATGAAACTTCGCAGAAAGAAAAAATTGAATAAAATAAACTCAATTCGGTTGAGCATTATTTCCACTCTAAGGGGGGAAAATATTTCTATAATCTAGTTTTCTTTGCGCTTTTCAACATCAAAGCGAAAAACGCAACCGAATTAATAAAGTGTTTTCATCACAAAAGTACTGATGATATCACAATTAAATCCAAACTTTCTTATATTGAAATAAAAATGTTTATTTTTGTCAAATTTTGATTTAAATTATTGTCAATAAATTTTAGTTTAATTATACAAAATTTTCTAAATCTGTGATTAGAAAAAATAAATTTGTTAATTGGATGAAGTAAAAAGTTTTGAGCTTTTTGTCACATACATCGAACTTCTTCATGAGGCCAACCTTATGCAATTGGTTCCAAATGGTTTTCTGCCTAATCTTCAGTATTAGATTTTAATTATAATCAACATATCAAGACTAATTATCTATTTCAAATCTTAAAACTAATATTAATTTATTGAATGTGCATCAAATGTAAATTATTAATTACATAAATGCGGGAAATACTTTTTTTTACTACATTCTATGTGAAATTATTGATTTTACCATGAAACGCGGACGCATTTACAATTATTTTCGCAACGGATTAATATCCGCGTCAGCATTATTTATTCAACGATATGACAAATTGTCCAAATATGAAAATCAAACTTGTGAGCACAATTAATACATGTCTGTAAATAATTGCAACAGTTGAAAAAAAAATAACTAAAAAAAACCTACTTGTTAAATAATTGAATGAGAATATCGTTTCATATGATTTAAATTTCAAGCATTTACTTTTTATTGATTTAATTTTCTGTCAGTTTAATAATTCACGTCATATAAAAGTTTTATCACAAAAAAATATTATGAAATTTATTATATCTATATACTAATATAAATTACTATTAAAATGTTGTTTCTATCTTTATAATCATAATAAAATAACGAATTTAGGTTTATACTCCTTTTTGTTATGTATAAAAATACGTTTCACTTTATTAACTAATTAAAATAATTAGAAGAACATTTGAAATGATGAAGTTTTAATTTAATTGTAAAAACAACACATTTTTTGTATGTAATTAAAAGTTAATTTGTATCCATGCTATAAGCTTTAACTAAGCTACAACAATTGAATTACAAACGGAAGTATTACTAAAGACCACTTGGGAATATTTATTCACGGTCCCAACGATCTCATTAATCCAGAAAGAACCCAGACAATTATAATTAATTCGGCGCTACGAATATACTAAAAAAAACAACAAAGTTTTGAAAACGCTTTTATATTCTGAGAGCGTATCTCTCGAGGGGTTGATATTCCATGTGTATACCAAAAACAATTGCAGAAGAGGTCATCCATCACGTGGATGTATTTAACATACCATTCTTTTTTAACAACGTGGTTTTATTAACAAATATATATATACGAAGCCTCAGGGATTTCGTTTTTTTTTTATAGTCGCATCGTAAAATTTGGATAGGTGTTAACGTGTTACACGACAACAGGTGCTCAGAAGGTTGAATTTACGATGAGGATTCTTCTGCTTTTAACGATTTTTATTTGGGTGAAGAAATACACCAGTTTTTGCTATGACGTAGACTGATTTTCAAAAAATTGTGTTACAAAATTATATTTTCAATAATTCATTCTTATATCAAAGACATATCAAAATTGTTTAAATTCGTAAGAAAACTCTATAGGATAATGAAGTGAACATTGAGAAAGTTATTTGAAATTATGGAATTCCATTATGAAAAATTAAAAATTATACTTTTTAATAATTTATTCTTGTAATAAAGACATATTAAAATTGATCCAAAGTATTAAAAATCAACATTTATGATTAAATTCTTCTGCTTTTAACGATTTTTATTTGGAAGAGGAAATACAGCAGTTTTTGCTAAGATGTAGACTGTTTGAATTTGTAAGAAAACTCTATAGGATAATGAAGTGAACATTATGAAAGTTATTTGAAATTATATTATGCAAAAGTGATAAATTGACCTAACGTCGAAATTTTTCAAAAAATTGTGATACAAAATTATATTTTCAATAATTCATTCTTATATCAAAGACATATCAAAATTGATCCAAAGTATCGAAAAACTAACATTTACGATGAAAATTCTTCTGCTTTAAAGCAGGAAATACAGCAGTTTTTGATAAGATGAAGACTGTTTGAATTTGTAAGAAAACTCTAAAGGATAATGAAGTGAACATTAAGAAAGTTATTTGAAATTATGGAATTATATTATGCAACAGTGATAAATTGACCTAACGTCGAAATTTTTCAAAAAAATGTGATACAAATTTATATTTTTAATAATTCATTCTTATATCAAAGACATATCAAAATTGATCCAAAGTATCGAAAAACCAACATTTACGATGAGGATTCTTCTGCTTTTAACGATTTTGCTAAGATGTAGACTGTTTAAATTTGTAAGAAAACTCTATAGGATAATGAAGTGAACATTAAGAAAGTTATTTGAAATTATGGAATTCAATTATGCAAAAATTAAAAATTATACTTTTTAATAATTTATTCTTGTAATAAAGACATATTAAAATTGATCCAAAGTATTGAAAAATCAACACTTATGATTATAATTCTTCTGCTTTTAATGATTTTTATTTGGGGGAGGAAATACAGCAGCTTTTGCTAACATGTAGTCTGTTTGAATTTGTAAGAAAACTCTAAAGGATAATGAAGTGGACATGAAAAAAGTTATATGCTAAATTGATTTAATATCGCAAATTTTCAAAAATTCTGATCCAAAATTCTTATGTTAAAGACTTATAAAAATTAATCAACAACCTATATTTTGGTCATAATAGAAAAACTCAAGATTCAATGATTTTTATACATTTCAAAGTTGTAATAACAAAAACTTCTGATGCAGAAGTTCACATTTAAATATGTATTATAATTGAATAAATTGAAGTTTAATTAATTTGCTTTCATTAAGTTTTTAACAAATTGTCATAAAAGAAGCGTTACTATTTAAATTTGCTGCCATTTTAATCATGCTAAGGTTATGTAAGTTTATTTGCGATTTTTCTACAATATGGATCTTCTAATTTAATTTGAATTCATTAAAAGCACTATCCTTCCTATATGGGCGCATGTATCTTGAACTTTAGAGTATAGATCGATTAATCCTTCCTAATGGCTATTAGCTAAACTAACCTGAAATCATATCGAATTACGTAAACTGAAACAGGCTTTCAGCGTTCTAGGATCAGTATACTATTACAAATTCCGTCTTTAAAATCACCTCGCTTCCGCTCTAATTCCCCATTGTTTCACCCATTCAGACCCCAACGAAATTGTATGATATAAATGATTAAAACTACATAAAAGGATCCAGAATAAATGAGAAAAAAACTAGTATTTTACTTATGAAAATTGTATTTTTGAGAATATATGTGAATTATTGGAAAATTTGTTTCACATTCCTTATATTTTTAGTTTGTTAATGTAATCAAATTATTAAAAAACTGAAAATAAATATTTTTTTAACTGAATGCGTGTCAAAAGAAACACAAAAAAAACTTTTATTTCAATTAAATTGTGTCAGAACAAATCAAAATCTCTATGAATCATGTCAAAATTGAAACAAACAAAAAAAAAAGAGAGAATTCCGTCAATCAAACTGAAATATTTAGAAGGTTGAAATGGATTTCCCAATTACAATTAAAACCAGAAACAAATGTTTTTAGAATGTAGGTTACCCATTGGATATTTATATTAATACTATAATATGCATTTCGGTTCGTAATTATGTCCGAAAGCTACCAATTCGATGCAAATCCTATAATGAATTTACTGAAACGGATTTAACTTTCCTGAAAACCAAACAAATGGAGCGACGTTAATAGTCGGTAACTTTTTCGAACGGAATTTCAACGTCCTTTGAAGCATTCAAATTGAATTTATATAAAAAGAGGAAAACAACATAGAACAATTAAAAAAACTGAACAACGTGCACTTTCGACGAATAAATAGTGGCCAGAGGTGTATAAACAAATCGAACGAACGCGCGTTTTCCATTCTAGAAAAACCCATTTCGGGCGTCAGGAATTTTCCACGCGAGTTAAATTAATGGATAAATTTCCATTTTAATAACAATGCGTACACGTATAAAAATATGAAAAAAAAAATCAAGCTCTGTTGTCGTCCATCGTTAAACCATTTCATTTTTTTGTAGCAGCAGCAGTTGCAATCAGTAAAGTATTATAAAATCCGAAACGATTATGTAAAACATAGTTTTATAACGTTGAAAAAGGATAATGTATTAAAACAAAGATTTATAATTAATAAAAAGAGAGTTAAACCATTTTTTTTGCAGCTGTTGCAATTAATAACGAGTTTAAAAATGGTTTATGAGAATTATTGATATTTTTTTACGTTAAAAATGAATAAAAACACAAATTTATAATTGATAAAAAGGAAATGTATCTGTTGTGAATTAGTAAAGAATTTAAAATTTCGAATCGATTGTGTAAAACTTAGTTTTTTTTAAGTTAAAAAAAGAGAATAAAAAGACAAATTTATAACTAATAAAGGAAGGAATGTGTACTCACCGATAGGGTGATGATTTTATCGAAGAGCATGATTGGCGGCATGTGGAAATCGAACACGAAATACTGAAAAAAAAAAGTGTGATACGTGAAAATCAAATGGAAATTCCTTGTGCAGTTCGTATATATCTACGGTCTGCTACCTCTGGATTCAAATTTGCATCGGAAATAAATATATGAGCTCCATACATTTCGAACACATTTCTGCCTTAGGGAGAAAAATGGGTCGGAAAATGCTATTTTGTGCGCGATCCTTTCGACGATCTTTACTTCCAACAGTATAATAAATTTATTGCAAAACTGGATTTCGATTTGATATCCTTTTTATTGTCACTAGTATCCCATTGTCATTTATTTTCAATAAGAATTTATCAACAAATTATACTTGGATAATTATTTTGTAAAATTATATAAAAGTAAAATTTGCTATAAATTATTTTTTTAAATAATAGATGTCTATGACAAATTGCAAATGTCTGCCTGGAAGAACAGCTGATATAATTTAGTATTGTTTTATTTTGACATATTGAGTATTTTCACTGTTATTTTTTGTTAATTCATAAGAAAATATGAGAATTCTTCTTCAATTAAATCATTGAAAAGTTAAATTATATATACAATTTTGTATTGTTCTATTTTATCAGTATTTTCATGGATCTTTAATCTATCAATTTGGCATCAAATGCACTAGTTTTTGTATGTATGTATGTATGTTTTGTATTTGTGTCAAATTGACATTTCTGTCAATAGTTATAGTTTATAACTTATCCTGAACATACTTACTTCATTGTAATATGGACAATTCGTGCTTTCCTTAACGCTGGTGTACTTCTTCTGATCCCCAACTTGGATGCAAACGACTGGATCCATGTTGAGTCCTGCAAGTTGTCGGGCTTCGATGATGGTCAGACAGACCTGGAAATCCTGGGCTTTGAGGACGCTCTGCACGCGAGATTTCAGATCCGATTTTAATCTGCGAACAAAAGGGGGGAAAGTGAGATATTCTCCAACCGTGCGAAATTAACAGAATGACACGAAAAAAAAAATTATATGCATACATCAGAGCACGAGCGGACACGGTAAGAATCTCATAAATATTAATGTCGGCCGTAAATATAATTTTACTTAAACGAATGCCGCTTCTCTCGTTTCGCTCACCGAAGAAAACCCATAAATATTTATCAAGGGATTTAGCAGTGAAACGAAAATCTGAAGATTATATCTTTACTATTTTTAATGCTGGACAAAATTTTACTTTTCTAAATATACAACAAACAATAATTAAATACTTGTCTATTTGTTACGTGTTTCTTCAGTTATATCAACAAAAACTTTAAAAAATATGAATAATCTGAATATAATAAAATCAGTTAGTAAATGTAATTAATTGAAGATCAAAAATTGAATTATGTAAAGGTTTTATAGAGCACTTTTATCTACAAAATTAAGTTAAGTTATTAAATTTTTTCAAAATCTAATTAAGTAAAGTTGTTTGGAAAAATAATTAAACTAATTATAATTTTATAAATAATACTGCAAATGGAAAAGAACTTTCTGTAGTATTTTTTTAGTTTTTTTCTTTCTATATTAAGTCTTTCTGTAATTATATTTGAATATAAAAAAATATACAAATTAACGATGTAAATAGTTTAGTTAAATTGTGTTTACATAAATAAAATCTAATGGATAATTTAAAAAAAAGAAGGTATAATTATGTACATAGATAATGAAAGTAATTAATTTGAATTTGCCGCGGATTATCAATCGACTCTGTTTGAACAAAGAACACTTGTAGAGGGCTCAGCTTAATCTGGAAATATGCTCTTTATATATGTGTACTTTTGGAAGCGTTCCTAATCTTAATCAGTCCTTTGATTCAACATCAAATATTGACTATCCTAATTGCTTCAAACTTCGAACATTCCCCTCGATCTTAAAGCTAATTTGCATTACTAATACAAACTTTCTTTTACTTCTTACAAATACTGAATTACCAGATTATTTTATGTATTATTAATGAAATAAAAAGAATGAAGAACTTATATGAGTAGTTATGAAATCGAACCATTGAATAGGAATTTAATAAAAGTGCTTTAAATGCCAGCACTTTCCGTTCCCAATAAAAATAATCATTAAATTCCTTTCTATAAAATGTGCTCTAACTCTGAATATCTTATTAGAAAACAAATCATATCGTTTTGTGAAATTTCAAGGTATTTTAACAATCAATTCAATTATTCGATCAAACTTTGTAAATTTCAATTAAAACTTTTTTCTTTTGTATAAATCGCAAATTAATTTTTAATCTTAATTATATTTTCCCCGTTGTTACATAATTTCCTTCGCTTTACTCCTTCTACCTGGCCGACTTTACGTTGCGGAGATTAAAACAAACAGAAACCCAAATTTACCAATTTATATTCCAAATTACAGTAAGAAAAAAAAGTATGGAACGAACTGGGGTAAATCAATTCTTCTCTTTCTCTCTCTCTGCATATATATTTCGCTCCCTCGTATCTCGCGGTAGTCCCAAAACTTTTTTATGAATACATTTCAATGGCATTACGTGACGACGACCAAAGAACGATTTAAGATAAAGGTGAGAGCATCTCTTAGAAATCATATAACTACTATAAATCTAAGCAGATTTGTGTTTCAATTATCTGCGAAATTGAACGAAATTAGGTGGAAGCGAGGGGTTTATTGAGTTTTTTCATGTTTTTCGTAAGAAATAACAAAATTATCAAAACGTAATTTGAGTTTATATCAAATATTATTTATGATTTTAGTAACAAATTATAAAATTAATAATATATAATCATAGTTTTATAAGAATCTTAACTGATTTATTGTTTAATTTTAGTCATGATTTTACGTAAAGAAAACTATTTTTTTTTTCAAAATATAATAAATATGCAATTATAAAACTTACCTAGTGGTTTTCCTTCCTTTTTCTGCGATTGAAACGGAAATCTGGCTGTCCGCATTCGAGCTCAAAGATGTTTGACTGCAGGCTCTGGAAAGTGGAGCGGATTCGCATTCGGAATGCCTCGAACTTCTACCAGATACATTAGGAACCAAAGGCGATTCATCATCCTCTTCCTTATCCTTCGGCGGCCGTTGCTTCCCTATAAAATAAACACGTAAACCAAACAAAATGTTAACTCTAAATGTTAATTTCAAAAACCTCATTAAGAGTTAAAGTAAACAATCAGCATAAAATAATAAACCGTTTCTATAATGAAATTATTAGAGCTTTAGTAATTAACAAATTACATCTGTTTTCATTAAACAAAATACAGTAACAGTAATTAAATGTTCATGTGTATGCAGAATTAATTCGTACTTCTGGACGAGTTCACAGTTGCGCTAATTTCAGAAAATCTGGGGTAATTTAATGAAGTTATTCCAGGAGTCGGCATTAATTGAATGTATAAAAACTGTTTTTTTTTCTTTATTGTAAGTTCTTTAAGCGACGTTTTGTTATTGGGATTCCGGAAGAGTAATAAATGAAGGGATTCCGTGCGAAGGCTTACTTAATGTTTCAAAGCTCGTCCGACCCTACCATTAAGTGTCCCATTTCACGCCGACCAATTTCAATCAAAATTAATTCGTAACCCACTGAAATTCTCTTTGATTTCATTCAGGTTATAATAATTAACTAGTTAACTTTGAAGTAAATGTACAACATTAAATGACTATGAAATATGATTGACATATGAATGCTAAGAATGTACAGAAGAAAACTTCAGCTTTTACAATAATTTGGATTTAAATGAAAAATATAAATTTATGTGTTTTCATAAATTTACTATTTCTCGACTAATCTTGTGGCTACAACTGATTTAATTTATACACACTAATGTTAATTATAATGATATTTAATTATTTGTAAATATAAACTTAGTAAATTAAAATTATGTAATTTTAATTATCAATAGTAATTTTATATTTTATGGTATTTCTCAATAACTAAGCATGTCACAATTGATATTGAATAAGAAAATTAAAGCTTAAACTATAACCTAGAGTATAAACTTAACTTTATGTGTAAATACTTTGTAATACTTTATCAAAAATGAAATTACTATTTTTCTATGATTTGTCGAAATTGCAGCAAATTCACATTTTATGAAATTTCTCGATAACTATACTTGACACAATTAATATTAATATTGCGTATTATATCTAATTTATTAAGAATCATTTAGAGTACATATTTATATCTTGCAGAGGTTTGGTAGTAAGCTGATAAAACATTTTCTTGATAACTATATGTCTTAGAATTGATATTGAGAACATATATTAAAGCTCAAACTATAAGAAATAATTGAAGTAAACATGTAGCTTTGTGTCTCTTATAGAAGTCTCATAATTCACTGTTAGAAATGATATTTCTCAAAAACTTATACTTATGTCTATGGTAGATATTTTGTAATACTCTATCAAATACAAAATTATGAAATTTGAATCTTCCATAGAAATAGATGCTAAGTATATAAGAAATAACTGGAGTATACATTTGTGTTTTTAATACATAATTTACTTCCTAGAAATTGCAGTATCATTACATTTTAGTGTATTTCTTAAAAACTACATTTGATACAATTACTACTAAATATGCAAATTAAAGACAAGACCATAAGAAACAATTTGAGTAGATATTTATATCTCCTACGGATATCCTGTAATTCGCTAACAAAATTGAAAATATTAAATTTAAATTGAACTAATCTTGTGGTATTTCTCAAAAACTATAATTGATATAAATGATATTAAATATGAAAGTTACTTAGCTAAGACTATAATAAATAATGTCAGTGCACATTTACATTTGAATAAGTAAATTACTTAGCTAAAACTATAAGATAAAATTTGAGTATATACTCTTACTAGTATCTCCAGTAGATTCACTGAATTCAAACTGTTATTTACTAATTGTATTATAAACTACTAATATTTTTTCCATTCAAAAACTTACCAATTCTGATTAAATTCCTCACGTTCCTAAACGTGGAGCTACGTTTCCTCTCCGGAGCCGGCGATTTTTCCTGCTGTTTCCGCGTCGAAGATCCGGATCTGGATCTTGTAGATTCCTGATTAGTGGACGATAAACTCTTCTCCAAATTAGCAATGTTCTGTTCGATGTCGATGAGCATTTGCCGTTCGTCGTCGATACCAAAAATCTGGCTGCTGCTCGCAAAAGAAGCGCTCGTTTCATCCGGTGCAACGTACAGCAGATCGAAATTTATGCTGACCTGCAAACGAAAAATAAAAAAAAAACGGATCTTTATTTACGGTGTACTGTATTCTTCGTTATAAGCCGTTGGAAAATGGAAAATTCTCTCGCACCCAAAATTCATATACAGCTTTCCAAGTTAATTAAGAGGAAAAGACACCTTCTGCGCGGAACGTGACAAATTTTAATTGCTAGTCTTTGTAATTCGATTTACACCTGCATATTTATACCTCCCTCAAGAATATAATGAATAAAGTTTTATACTCTTCTTAGAAATTGTTTTACGTAATAAAATTCTTGAAAAAAAAAAACAAATATTTTATTTCAAACATTATTTAAATAAACATGAAATTTTTATCTGTAATTAAATAATATATAACAAATATGAAAAAGTACTTGAAACTTTAAGAATTTCCATAAATTACTTTCGATTTTCTTATAGGAAAATTCCAAGTTTGCGACGTTTATGTGCGAAGTTTCGCAAAATGGAATTGAGAAAATTTAGTTTTAGCTACTTGAGTCTTTCTATTTAGCCTCGAGGAAGATGCGCAATAGCTATAAACTCCTCTTCTCTTCGTTGTCAACTTCATTTATCATTCGCATCGAATCTACATCTTACTCAGAGAGAACTGCAGCATTTTGCATATGAAATTTTCCATAGAAAACTCTATAAACTGCTTGTTATTATATAATGTAACGTATTCCTGTCATGCTGACGAATATAAATCGCTCCGTTGCATATTGCTACCTGCACATTTGAAGAATTCGTGCAAAAATGAGCCAATTAGTCAGTGACATTTGCAAATATGTTACAATTTACTAAACAATTCTTTGCAATAGAATTTCAACTATTCGAAAACAACATACAATTATTCTGTTTACAAACTAATGTTTATGTAAATCTAAATAGAAATTATTTCTTTTGCATTTATATAGAAAAAGTGTTCCAAATCTATTAAAAATATTGCTAAATATGTCTTTAATCTCTTCAATTCTTTTTTCATTTACAGAAAGAAACAAAAACATACATTTTTGCTGTATCTTGGATATGTAAAGAAGAAATTTAACATTCAAAAAATACAATTTAAATTGTATCCAAAAGTTGAATTAAATTAAACTGAAATTACCTAACGAGACGAGAATGTATCGAGAAGTTAACTTTTATTTTAGATATTTTAGACTCATACTTTTAAATTTCGCTTTTGTTCTAAGATCATCAAATATTTACGTAAAAAAAACATCTAAAGAAAATAAATAATTTAAGAGTTGTTTCAACTTTTAACGGAATTTACAAAATATTCTCGAAAAGTGTCCGGACTGTTTGAAACCGGACTAATCAAGGAACAAATAAATTGTACAAAAATAGTCTTGACTGATTTATGCATAAAAAAAATATGTATTAAGTTTGTAGAATTTATTGAGATTTATTTTATTTGTTCCTTGACTGTTTGAAACCGGACTAATCAAGGAACAAATAAATTGTACAAAAATAGTCTTGACTGATTTATGTATAAAAAAATATGTATTAAGTTTGTAGAATTTATTGAGATTTATTTTATTTGTTCCTTGATTAGTCCGGACTGTTTGAAACCGGACTAATCAAGGAACAAATAAATTATTCAAAAATAGTCTTGACTGATTTATGTATAAAAAAAATATGTATTAAGTTTGTAAAATTTATTTAAGGTTTGTTTTGAAATTTTCAAACTGTCTGAAGAAGTTTAGTAATATCTGAATTGTTCAGAAAAGTATAAATTTAGTAATTTATGAAAGGTATATTTCCTTTATTTTGATGAAAATGACATGAAAATGTTTAAAAATAAAATAAATTCTTAATATTTTCAGAAAGGTAGGTTAACATAACTTCTTTTCAACGCAATTTCCTCCTGCATTAAATTACATATGAATTATTTAAGAACCTGATGATAAATTGTTAATTCATTGTTATTGCAATTCGTGTTGCGTTCATTGAATTGCTCCACGCAAAGCAAAAAATTTACATGTTATTTATATTTATTTCGGACAGTGAAATTGTATTTTCCTTACTGCTGGAAAACGCAGGATTGCGAAGGTCTAGAAAAACCCTTGCGTCATAATTACACCTTTGCGCGATTTGCAGAGAGCCAGAAATAATGGGCCGGTGAAGGAATGCTCGATAAAAACGCGTTTTGTACATAATTAATGGGCAATGCGAGAGGAATAAAGGAGGCATAACAAAGGGGGGAAAAGCCGCACTTATGAATAGTTAAAAAGAGGGCTTTTGCATCAAAGGGTGTCCGCTGGGGGAAAGTAAGGGATTCCGGTGGGAATTAACTTACCGGCATCGGTTTATTGTTGGAATCGACGAGACAATCGTTGATGGACAACCTTCCATTCTGCACGACTACTTGAAGAACCACACCGTAATTGCCGATCAATTTGTCCGCGAAGAGTCTGCTCCTAGAGTACAGCTCGATGATGAGGACTTCCTCCACGTCCACCGGTCTCGCCACCGGCCAATCGAATTTCTGCAAAAGAACGAAACGACGTTAATCCAAAAAGCTCGTGAATATTAAAACTGAATTAGCCTACATCTAATCCCAGGTGAATATTCTCACAAAATTAAACCAATTACAAACTTCCTGATTAACTCGTAAGTTTTTAATGGAAAACTACATAGTATGTAATTATTACTTTTTTCGGACAATTACAGTTTCAAACAATGATATTTAACTTTCCTTGGTACAAAATTGGAAACACAGAAGGAATGCTTAACTAGTAAGTTTTTATTTAATGAAAAAACAAACAACTTCAATTGCAAATACAGAAATTTAACTCTACTTTCGACCAAAATAAATCTCTAAAAAAAAAGAAGAAAAATCTTAACTTCATTTTCTTTAATTTCGAGAAAAAAAAACATTTAACTTTTCTTTCCATAAAAATAAAACTTGAAAGAAATCTTCACTAAACAAGTTTTTATTATACATTTGAAAACTGTATAGTATATTACTATTTTCGCCGTTGCATAAATCACAGTTTGAAATAATATTTAACTTTCATTTCAACTATATAAAAAGTGGAGACTATATAAACTGGAGACGTTGAACGAAGTCGAAAGCTTTAAGAACTCGAACGCAATTTTCTTCCGCGCTAAAAGCTTCATGGAATTCTCCAAGAATCCCAAAATTCTTTTACGCTTTTGATGCTGTTACCCTAATATTTGAATTTAACAAGACCCGAACTTTCTCGCATTTCCCCATAAAAATAAAAGATATTTGCGAAACGAAACGATTTTCATAACAATGTTCACAATTCTTTCATCCCAATTTTTATTATTCATTAATCCTCTTCGTTTTTAATTAAGATCATCTACCCAAGAGATGAGTTGCTTAAATCACGTAAGATTTTAAATATAAACACTTTACTTGTCAAGTATCGCGTAACTTGAACAATATATACTTAGTTTATATAAATAACTTAGTTTATTTAGAAAATCATTACACTTCACACACTTATTGACAAGTACGTGTACAAGTGTTATAAAATAAACATATTTCTTAAATGTCTTTATTATAGTACTTAAACTGAAATAAATTTATTTTTATAGATAGAATTTAATAACTTTTTTCATGAAAATCTCAATTAATTATGAAAAAAATAAATAAATTTTCATAATTAACACAATATGAAAGTTATGTAAATTGCCAATAATTGTGTGTGTATGAGTTTGATTAATTTTTGGATTTGAAATCGGGAGATGTTGAAGAGATGAAATAAATGTGGGATAGGAAGGAAGAAGTCCTCCGTTGAATATAAACCGTCTATTTAGCATTTTAAATGCAATTTTCCTTCTGTCATGGTGGAAACAGCACAGCAATTTTCCCGTCGCTCTCGAAACCATTTCCGCGCGATGCACAAATACGAACACTCAATGATTTAGTCGAAATACACAAGAAACATTCAACTTTTCCATCGTTGCAGACGTATTGAAAATAATAATATAAATACAGTGAATAAGTTAGGTGTTACATTTTTTGTGTATATTATGGAATGAGAATTATACTAAAGGTAAGTTTCCTAAGAAATATATTAAGAATTCAACATTAAATCTACTTGTTAAACTAAACATTATCATGAGTTTTATTATTAGTAAGAATTAACTTAAAATTGAATATTGAAATGCGTTAAATTTCTTATTATATCTTGTTAAAATTAAGTTTTATTTTTAGCAATCTATAAAAAATAAGATTTGACTAAATCCAATTTCACGCCATGATTTTCTGACGCGATTTAAGTTATTTGCAAACTTTCTGAGGAGAAAATGTGTTATTTTTCTTTGACCTTCTTTATATGAAGATCTGCAAATGTTTTGTTTGTAATACGTTCTGTTTATATTCGGAGGTCCTTGCGTATCGATCCGACTCGTCGGGTCCATTGGGAAACCGGAACGCGCCGGAAAATTCCGGAAATGTGGACACATCACGTCAAGCGGCAAAAGCAGCTCTCTTTCTGTTTCTCTCTCTGTCAACTTTCTCATTTTTGTGCCACCCCATGTTCTTTGCAACTTCCAACCATTGACAGGACTCCTACAATGTTCACAGATTACGCTGCAAATTTCATTAACTCATTTCCTTTGAAACCGAGCTCAAAGTTATTCCCATCCTCATACTTTTTTAGGTGTCTGCATTCGTGATACAATCAAAGATCTGGAAGATTAACAGTAAAAGGAAGCAGTATTTACAAGTTAAAGTTACAGATAATGTAAAATTAAATGAAATCATACTGCTATTATTGTATCCAAGTAATTCAGTATTAAACTTGAAGAAAAAGTGTCTTTACATTCGTGCTTATTTCTCAAAAAGTATGTAAGATAAATTCATTATTGAACAACCAAATTAAAGCTAAATATTTACTCTTTGAAACATATGTACTGGTACAATTGTACCTTTTGTCTTTGCGACGTAATTCAGTCAAACTTGAGCCATGGAAAATCGATTGTCTTCATTGAGCACGAAAATTAAAGCTGTTTGAGTTTATATTTTTTTTGTTCATGAAAAGGTATAAATGTGTAAATATTTTCTTTAAGACACATATGCTGATATAGTTTTATAATTTCTCATTTAGACGTAATTCACAATCAAAATTGTGATAAAGATAATTTACGTATAAAGTAAATTCAGCTACGAGATTAAGCCGCAAAATTTTGCATAATACCAGATTACAGTTTAATTAGAGGTCGAAGTTTATCTATTAATTACGCAGTCACATTATTAATTCAAATTGCGGTAAATTAATAAAATAAACCTACACATGAATTTATAGTATCAGATATAACGTTTTATCATCATCCCTCTTCTCTCTATTTTATTTTCGTTCGTTTGTGTAATCTGGAAATTGTACAAACTACAAAACCGAACCCAATAAATTCGAGAACTGTATCGTATGTTAAAGGGAATTGGGCTGCGGCAATCCCAAAAGAGCAACACGCGTCCAGGGTAATTGGCATATTCAATCGATACAAAACAAACTCTTGACAAATTGGTATAGATCTGTTTGCTGTTTCGCAGCCTCTCCAATTAATTGATGGCATCACTCGCACTTACGATGATTCGAAGAAGTGGAGGAAGCAGTTAATTGGAAATTGTGTGAAATTATTATATTGGAAATGTTTTATTCTCGATGCTCAAACATTTTCTACGAACGTTACTCTATATGAGCGGTCGGGGAACCGGGGTAAATTACCCAAAATGGGGTAAAAATGATTTTTTTTCGGTAATTTTTCTAATTTCATCTTAGACAGCGGTTCTCTGACTACTTTTCAGATCTTGATGTACAAACTGTGAATTGGGTTGTAGATCCTTTTAAATGTGAAATTACTAACATACCAGAAGAACCTCCAGGTTTGGCAGAGGCAATTCTTGAACTTCCATCCAATACTGTATTCAATTTGAGAGCAAAGCAAATCTTGTCGTCTTTTTGGTGGTCAAAGGCTACAAAGGGTTTAAAAATTGCAAATCTGTCGTCTTTTTGGTAAAAAAAATTGCTGCCGGCTTTTCCACTCTAATGAACATAAAAACGAAAAACAGAAATCGATTAAACGCCGAAGACTGTATATTCAAATTGCTCTTACATCAAAAAGTCCCAATTTT